TGCTCAAGGAGGAGAGTATGGCAATGCACTGCAGGCGGCATCAGCAGGTGGCCATGAGAGGGTGGTGCAGATGCTCCTGGATGCCAGAGCGGATGTCAATGCTCAAGGAGGAGAGTATGGCAATGCACTGCAGGCGGCATCAGCACGTGGCCATGAGAGGGTGGTGATGGTCTTGAGAGATGCCGGAGCTGTTGGCTAGGAGGATAACGATATTTTCTCGAAATGAATCTTATACCCTGAGTTGCAGCTTCTTTTATATGTCCACGTTCTAATTTTGATGTTTTGATGAATTACCTTCTGAGCCCTCTCTTCTCGTGTAAGCGCCGAGCTTTCTTGTGCTCTTACTGAAATATTACGAGCACGTGTAGCTTTGACCGTAGTGAAATATACAGTATATTGATTGATCATTGGATTGAGGCTTGACTAGATATGGCAAGGCTTCCGCTATTGCTGTAGGGCGGAGAATCTTCAAATGTATGCATGGGTGAAGCCGATTTTTCAAGCCACTGTACAAGCAGCATCCGTGGGTGGCCACGAGAAGGTGGTGCAGATGCTCAAGAAAGGAGCAAATCGAGCTTTAAAAAAGAAAACGATAATCGTGCGGCACTGTTGAACGCCGCGGCGAACAGACACGAACCGGTGGGCAATCGGAGATCACAGAACCAGTATCCATTGCTATGCCACAGGCGACAGCCACGATACGAAGTATCCACTGGAGCGGACGTATTTAGCCTGTTCTCTCAGGACAATTATGGGCAAACGCCGCTTACTTGGGCTTCAAACAAGGGACCCTTGACATTGTGCTACTTACCCATAGACTCTGTGAATAGTGTCCTCGTGGAGTTACTATAACTGCTTAGGCTGCATTCTGCAAGAATACCAGTCCATTCATACGCTGAAGCGGTCAATCCTGGACGGCTCGATTCGGGCCGGCCGACAGGGATAAATTTCTATTCAATGCTCCTCTATCCGCACATTGGATTCCATCTCCTATTCTCTTCGCCATGCAGCAACCTTTGACCTGACGAATCATCCGCCACCGATTGTATAAATGCGACATCATCATTTGAGCCGAAGGTCATGATTCCCGTAATGGTAGTCTATCGGCGGAAGAGAGTTTTCCGACTATATTGTCTTCGTATTCGGCTGTATCCGGGTAAGTCAAGCCATCACTGGAAAGGGCGCTATCTCAGCAGACCACACCGAATTGCCGGCCGATAGGTGACGTGACACCTCAATGAATCGAACACCTTGGTAAATGTCGTCGAGGCTACATCCTTCGAAGGATATACTAAAGATAGCAACATGAAGAGAAGCGGACGCAGTGAGGCCTGGGGGTATGGGGGCTAGCCCCCATAAAAGACAGTGATCAACCGTCTACATACGGTCCATGGACTGGATCCGATGGAGGATATCGTACGGCACAGGACACCATGATCAACATCGTCTATATATGATCCATGGACTGGATCCGATCAAGGGGGTCTGGCAGACAAAGGCGGCATTCTACCCATTTCTGGGTGGGCCGTGGATTGGATCCGATGGGGTCAGCTAAAGGATTGGCAATTGTCGGATTATAGACTTTTCGGATTACGGAGGGTTGGCCAACCACGTGATGCAAAAGGCTTGGCAATCTCGAACGCAGTGAGGCCTGGGGTTTGGGGGCTAGCTCCCAAAATACAGAAGCTACGCTTTTACCTCTGGTCGAATATTCTGTCCGCGGCCCCTAGTTGGGGTCAATTATCAAACGATATAAGTGGCTACAGTGGTTTGGCTCGACGAATTCGAGTCACGCCAGGACTTTTTGGCACGTGATACTGCATCTATAGCCTGGGAAATCACATTGACCTCCTTGAGCTTACACTACAACGTCAACGGCTGGACTTCAGCATTCATAGAGCCACTTTGGCTTTTTGCCATATGCAGCCTAATCAGAGCATGATGTCTACCTAGCGCGTATACAGGATCTGCTATTGCCTCTTTTGCCTGACATTCTCTGCTTTGAGGCAAGGCTGAGGGCGTGAATAGACTGCCACACAACCCCAGCACTCATAGAGCACGGAGCACGGAGCATGGTGCGACTTGCCATTAGATCGTTTCAATTCATGCATACGGTCTATAGTACCCATTGGCGGTGTCATGGTCATCACCCTGTCATCTCCCTCCGCATAGAGCGAAACCCCTTTCATTCTTCACATGACCAGACTTGATATTCTCCCTGTGCCAATCATACTCCACGACTTCCCTCAGTCCTGTAGGTCCCATTGGACTCATACGCTTGACATGGCCGCCTCATAAGTATGTTTTGTTGAAGTCACTCAACCTATGCTCACGTAGGTTTGACACGAAGCGCGACAGCACCAATTCAGGAAGTTCCGATCCAACCAAGTGCTAGTGGCGAGAGTCTTGAAGCTTGAGCCCCGAGGAAACACCGGCATTAAGTGAATGTATACACCGTGGATGTCCCTCGTTGGTGATCGTGGCTTGATGGCGGAGAATAACCATGGCTTCACTTGCGTCGACTCAATTCCAACAGAAGCATGCCCCGTGCTTCCAGGCCAACGAACAGGTTGTGACTTACCAACACTGGAGTGAGATGGCAGGCCAGCGTGAAGAGTATTCAACCTTCATGACAATGGCTTCACCGACGATTTGGCGGTCCTTTTTCCCAGTATGTGAGGCCTTCTGCTGGACCGCAAAAATTGATAGACAGCCACAGCTAAGAAATACAAGGCCACACGTTGACGAGGAGATCTGGTAAGTCGATCTGACAACATTTTGTGTGAATCGGATCTCAAGCAGTGATGTCCGGCAGAGTGATCTGGAAGTGACTCCCGGAAAGTAGGTGAATTTCTTGCAGCACCCATCCACCGTCAACATCCCCGGAAGGATTCCCTTGAGACTTTTCATCACAGTGCATCACAGGTCCAAGGCCACATAAACAGCTGTCTCTGAGGTAGACGAAGCGGGAAGCGCAGATATATCGTCCTCACAATACCAGGATTTCCATTTCGCAAATAGTGAAGTTACGCAGCCTCTTCAGCCCGCTGCCCAGTTAACGTCTCAGCCTCTGGTTTTCTTGTTGTACGCCTGTACAGCTCATAATCATCACCAAATTTGCATAGAGAAAAAGCCACAACGAAAGAATCCACCGCGAGACTTACAATGTCTCCTCGAAAGATGTGCCAAGGCTCGATAGACGAGGTGATAGTGGGAATATTCGATGATCGAATCAGTGTCGACAGTGGAGAGCGAGGCAACCAACCCTTCTTTAGCACCCAGCTGCAGCCTCTTCTACCATCTCATACTTCGTCAGTCACATGGAAGAGCGACGCCGTGAAAGAAAAGGAGGAGTATGAACGAATCAAGCAGCGAGTCCGACATTTTGCACCAGAACAGTTCAAAACTAATGCAAAGCCTGGCAGAGGCCCATCGGAAATCTTTCCTCAAAATCCTGCGGAATGGGTGGTACACAAGAAGGAGATCCTCGCTATGGCGGAGGCAGAGAAACAGAAGAATTGTGAATGGCTTAAGGCGCAGATCAATGCCCAGCAAAAGATTCCCAAGCATCAGAGAAAGATCAAGTCAGCGTTTGGGAAAAAAGATGGCAAGGTCTTCCACCATGGATTGAGCCCTGTACTTGCACTCCCTACAATCTGGTCAGCCGATTACCTTGGGCAGGCTGCTCGCTGGCCTAGCGCAGGAGAGCTGCAGTGGAATGGCGATAGCAGACAGAGCGTGCTTGCGAAGACGAAATGCAGTCGTTTTCGGCCTCCACCTCGCGTTCCTGGTGGCCGCTCTGCGCAAATGCAGGAGCCGCCATTCTCCAGACCACTTCCTCTCGACCAGACAGGACCAATCTTCACCGACGGGCCTCGACCGGATGAGGTCCAGGTGAGCAATGCCGACATGAATGAAGATCCAGAGTTCGAGGCTCACGGTAATTTCTACCTCGGAACGGAATTGATGCAAGAGCTGGGCGAGTGGGGACCAGTCTTCGTACCTGAATGGCAAAAGGCACAGCTGGTCACCGGCGAGCTGGTGCCAGTCCAATATGGCTACATGGGGCAATATATGGACCTTGGATTTGGCCATGGCGAATGTCCATGCGTGACTGGTGAGTTCTGGTGTGAGAATCCTCAAGCTCAGGTATGGGAGGAGTATCCGAGTTGGTGGCGAGACATTTTTCAAAGGGCGTGTTGAGGAGTGATTCTTGTTGTGTGTATCATTGGCCAAGTTGGAGGAATTCCGATCTCTTTTCTTTATTGCCTCAAGGCTGTGATCAACAGAGGCTTCGACAGTGTCGGGCTAGGGATTGCACCACCATCACAACAGTGTTGATTTCGATTTGCCTTGTCACAAAGCAGTACTCGAAGGAGCTTGAGAGAAGATGGAGTGAGGCATGGGGGACGTGTGAGCTGAGGCTTTCGGCGGCATCATCAAACTACGCTCCGGGTCTATGATCCTCTTGGTTAGCATCAAAAATTGGAGCCGGATTAGGGGATAACAATCAACGAGAATAGCTTCAAGAAGGAGCAGTGAAAGAGTATAAGACCGAATTCCCAGATACGCAGACATGAGTAGCAAGATGCAGGATGTTAATAAAAGCTTGGCCGCATCCTTCCCCACAGGCCCCTATTCGCTCAACATTCCCCTTTGAGAGCGAACCCCCTCGGTTGCCGGATCGTCAAGTTTCTTTTCCTCTCAATCGATTGCCACCTCATCTTCCTCCATGCTTCCCGATGGCCGACGTTGGACCACAGGATTGGACAGGATACCTGATGGTAGATTCGGCCCTTTCCTATCACCCTCTTATTTTCCCAGAAAGTGTGCCCGAGCTGGCGGCCTGAACATCAGCCGAAGCAATGCGGAGCTACCCCAACCAACCTCGGCCGAACTGCGGTTGGGAAGCCTCAAGTACATCAAGTCTCACTTCAATGATATCAAGGTTGCGATGGCCCTGTTCACGGGCTTCTCGAACGTCGGAGTCTGATTTGTTCCAGCATGGCCCGTGCGTATATATACCCATTTCCAGCACCGTACCCGACTAACAGACGTTTCAGTTACCACCGCCGCTGCGGCGATTGCTGGCGGCCTAGCCACGGCTGCGTATCTCGATGCCAAATTTCTCATCAGACATGACCTCCGGAGCGGTACTTTGGCCGGCAATACCAAGGAAGCCCTCGACTTCATTAATAAGAGGACGGCTCAAAACAAGTTGCTGATGTACCATGTCTTTGAGGAGCATGCTCAGGGGCAAAATGCAGATAACTTGTTCCTGATATTCGAAGATCGAACATGGACCTACAAGCAATTCTTTGATGACTTGCAAAGAGTTGGAAATTGGTTGTTAAACGATCTTGGTATCCAGCCTAAGGAAATCGTCGCAATTGACGGTGGCAACAGCCCCGAGTACCTCCTCCTCTGGTTCGGACTCGAGGCGATCCGCGCCTGTCCGGCTTTTATCAATTGCAATTTGACTGCAGCTCCTCTCACGCACTCGGTCAAACTCTGCGATTCGAGGTATCTCATCGCAGATCGCGGAACCAAGGATCTTGTTCAGCCATGTGAAGAAGAGCTCAAAGCCGCGAATGTGCAGACGATCTACTACGACGAGGCCTTTATATCTTCGTTCTCAGACCGGACGCCCTTGCCGAAGTCGCGACAGGAAGGCATATCACCATATGAACTTGGCAGCCTCATTTATACTTCCGGGACCACTGGTTTGCCCAAAGGAGTCATTCTGCTTCGAGGCCGAGAATTGAACACGGCAAGAAACATCAGCGCTTATCTCAAACTGAAACCGCACAACAGGATGTATACCGCACTCCCTCTCTATCATGGAGCAGGCCACGGTCTCTGTGTCACTCCCTCGATCTATGCTGGCTCCACCATCGTCCTAAGCCGCAAATTCAGCCACAAGACCTTCTGGCCTGAAGTTCGCAAATCTCGGGCCGACATTCTTCAATACGTGGGCGAACTATGCCGATACTTAATCAATGCACCGTCGAGCCCTCTCGACAAGCAACACAATGTCACCATGGCCTGGGGTAACGGCATGCGACCGGACGTCTGGGAAGTGTTCCGAGAAAGATTCGGTATCGAAATCATTAACGAGCTTTACGCCGCGACGGACGGACTCGGGGCCACTTTTAATGCCAACAAGGGCGAGTTTGGTCGCAACGCCGTCGCCCTGCGTGGGGCGTACTGGCACTTGGTAAACGCTGCGAACGAAAAACGGGTGCGCATCGACCCTGACACGCAAGAGATTCTTCGAGACCAAAACAACTTCGCGATCGAATGCAAGACCGATGAGCCTGGCGAGGTGCTGCACAGGATGGACCCTGCCACCGCCGACATCGTGTTCGCTGGGTACTACAAGAACGAGAACGCAGGAGACAAGCGCAAGATCCGCGACGTGTTTAAGAAAGGCGACCTGTGGTTCCGGTCGGGGGATATGATGCGTGAAGACGCCGAAGGCCGCGTATATTTTGTCGACCGACTAGGCGACACGTTCCGATGGCGTAGCGAGAATGTGTCGACAAACGAAGTCAGCGACGTGCTCGGCCGCTTCGATCAGATCGCCGAAGCCAACGTCTACGGCGTACAGGTGCCCCACACGGACGGACGCGCCGGATGCGCAGCAATCGTCCCGGTCCAGGGCATCACGCCCGACAAACTTGATCTCGTCGCTCTCGCAGAGCACACCATCTCCGTCCTCCCGCGGTACGCTGTGCCCATCTTTCTCCGCGTCGTGCCCCAGCTCGAGTACACGGGGACTATGAAGCTGCAGAAAGGCCGACTTCGCGCCGAAGGCGTGGATGTTGATAAGATCCGCCTGTCGAGCCCTGAGGATCGCACGTTCTGGCTTCCCCCTGGCGCCAACAGGTATGTGGAGTACGGGCCGAAGGAGTGGGAGGAGCTCAAGGGTGGAAGGGTTAGGTTGTAGAGGAGGTGATCAATTGGTCCCGGTCACTTTGGTTTGAGAGAAGTGGAAGTCGACATTTAGAGTAGAGCGTGAAATAAAGCAAGATATTATCGAGAGAAACATTCCTCCTCGTCCACAAGACGTGCCACGCAAGAGGATTCGAGAGCCTTGTGCTAGAAAATCAGGATCCTCAATACAAGCGGATGGGATGTCAATGTCGTATTTTCATTTCCATTTTTTCCAGCCGTTATTCGGCTTTTTCAGTGTTTGGTATCTCAATACTATATACCATAGAACCGTAGTCGGTCTGTCCCATAGCATCATGCATTCGGCCGATGACGGCCGTATAATATTTTGTCACAGGAGATGACTCAATGCAGTGTAGCTAAATCAGCCTTGGTGTCCCTTCCGGCCACGAATCTCCCAGACAGACAAATCGGATTCGGACATCCGTCACAGCCAAGGACGTTGCAAAGTTGCAGTTGTAATCCACGTATCATCCGTCCTTGGTTGACCGAAAACTCCAACCACCCGTCCGCCACAAAGCCTCCCATACTCAAGCCATTGATCGCACTTGCGAAGTCCTCATTCAACGGCGCTATGCCATTTCCATCATGTGCTTACGGGTGTCGAAAAGCAAGTTAAAGATAAAAGGTTGACATGTCGCTGCTGCACAAGCTTCGGTCATGCCAAGGGTTGATGTCTCAATCGAGTGTCATGTTCAGACTAGACTGTGAAGCGAATTGAGGGGTCGTCAATGAAGAACAATCGGCCGGGTCAGGAAAAGGACTCTACTCAAGAGCTCGTTTCAGATCATTCCATTTCTGCTTGAGCCCCTCATGTTCGGCATTGAGCTATTTTCAGCAAGTTAGATACCGATCATAGACTCAGAGTCACTACACTCACCTCAGCATATTTCACTTTCATCTTTACAAGCTCTTTTTCCATCTCGGCCATTTGTTCTTCCATATGACGATTTTCATTCTGCACCTCGATATTTCGCTGCATGACTTGTTCAGTACCGGCTCGCATTCTCTCTTCGACATTTGCCGCTTCGCTTTCAGCAACTTTTCGTAACTCTTCGACCTGTCCGTTCAAACTTTCGTTCCGATCTTGAAGCTCGTTATTCTCGACTTTCAGTCTCACAAGCTCGTTGGCGATTTCAACGTGTTCGGCATCAAACTTTTCGGCCCGTTTCTCGAGGGATCGGATCTGGGCAGCCTTGGTGGCACAATCAGTCTTCAAGTTTTCCAATTCGGTCTCTCGTGCCTTTTCGGCCTTTGTGGTAGTTTCCCATTCTTCTCTGTACCGATTCAGCATTTCAGGAGTGAGCCGGACCGCACATGCATCTTGGACCAGTAGATCTGCTCGATAAACCTCCGTGTCGGAACCGCCTGAGCTGCCGAAGAACCCTGATTCCAAAACTGATTTCGAGGAAGGAGTGGCATCAATGTAGACATCAAATATCTTCTCTTTCAGGAAGGTTGTTAGAGCTTGCATATCTTGCATTCCCAACAGCGTCGGAACATTTCGCTGAATGACGGCCATTCCAAATTTCAGGATCGCGCCTTCAAGGCCCTCACACAGTATCAGATCAAAGACGCGCATGACGAGTTGAAGTGGGAATCGGTAGGCGAACAGGGTAAGAAACCATTGAGTGGCGTAAAGCCTAGGAGTGACACCTCGGCGATTGAGGTGGCAAAATAAGGCGGGCTCGAGGTCTTCCAGTAACCGCTCAAACTGGTAAAGGTGCAGATGTAAACCGGGCATATCCTGGATGAACAGATCGCGCAATTGATACTTGTTCATCAGTCGAACTAAAAGGCAAAAGGCTTCTTCTTCTGGCATCGTGAAAAGCATAGGCATGACGATAAAGTTCATGCCTTGGGGGTATCCAACAGCATCGTCAAAGAGCGCATAAGCTCGACACACATGGAAAAGTCCATCCTGGAGGCCTGCAGCAGCTGCATACTTTGAATAGCTGGTCCTTGAGCCCATGTCGCGTTTGATCATTTTCTCTAGCTTGGTGAGTGCAACGGAATCTTCCTTTGCTTTTTTAGCTCGTTCCACAGCTAATTGAGTCGGAAGAGGCGCGCTGCTCATCGGATCGGTTGGTTCTCCAGATGGAGACGGAGATGCCATTCCGACATTAGCACTAGTGGCGGGCGTTGAGTGATCAGACCGAACGGACGATCTGGAGGATCCTACCGAATCCTTTTCTTTGACACTGCCATTGACATTACCGTTGAGCAAGGGTGATTTCGGCAAGCCTTCCCTTGCATCTGTATTGGGGCCTCGAGAGCGGAGGTCAAAGTAGACGGCCTCCAAATCCTCGTTTTTACTGCCCGCAAGAACTTGCCAGATCACCGGTCGGATTGTTTGAGGAATTCCACCACTAATCGCTTGAGTAAACTCATCGGGACTCGTCCGAGCGACGGCTTGAGGTCCTTCGTTCACAACATTCTGCCAGAAATCCCAATCAATTGGTATGGCGGTATCCGCTGCCGCCACCGCCACGCCGGCCACAGTTCCAGGGGCGAGATTCGGATTGGTCGGAATCGTTTCGGCCATCGGTGAGGAAGGAGATACGACCGGAGTTGATACAATATTTTCATCTTGACTGACGCCTCCGGGAGTGGCAATGCCCACACCTAAACTCGCTGATCGTCCTATCAACCCTGCTATGGCCCCGCCCTCGGATTTTTCTGTCCCTTCTAGATTGGTGATTCCTGCTTCTTCTCGCATCCGCAACATCTTGAATTGCTCGCGCAGGGATGCTCTCGACGGCCTCTGTCCATTGGATCCATCTTGTGACTCTTCCAAAGCCTTCAACATGAGATCGGGATTGCTTCCAAGGGTAGAGACCGAGGCAGCGGTACTCCGGCGAGCGTCAGATTGGGTTCTGGAGGGTAAAGGAGGAGAACGGGTTTCTTTGGGGGTCGAGGTCGCTCGGCTTAACCAGCCAAAAGGAGTGGTGACTTTGCGTCCGAAGGAAGAGGAGGATTGAGGCGGCTGCGGTGAAGGTGCTCGTGCATCCGAACCCTTTTTGGCGGGCGGAGGTGGTGGAGCGCCCCATGGTACTGAAGGAAGAGAGGCTGAAAAGCCTTGGAATCTTGAAGGACGAGACGCAGGTTTGGCAGGAAGGGATTTGGAAGACGGATCCGAATTATCGGCAGAGGCTTCTGGAGGTTTGAGAGTAGGCATTTGTTGGCCATCGTGTGACCGAGTCGATGCAGAATCATCCACGCCAACGGTATCTGTTGTTATATCAGGGAATTTTTGTTCTGAACTCCCTGTACTCTCTCTTTGCGGCGGCATAGATTGCTTGTCATGGTCAAGCGCAGCTTGGGACCCGCTGACGTTGCTGGGGTCCAACGGAGGTCGTTCTTGCTGGGATGAATCTCGATGTGAAGAGTCGTGAACATCACTTGCATCCTCGAATTTCTGGGAATGGTCAGTAAATCGTCAGGTCACCGAAATTGGTAGGTTTGTCTGTCTACCTCTTCTCTATCGGAATTGTCTGTGCTTGATTGTATTCTCTCCATATTGAATGCCTTCACACAACGCTCAGACCACTCATAGTATCATGGGCCGCCAGAGAGGATCGATCAAAGAATGGGAGGATATTCGTTGATGAAAATAGAGTTATTGTATATACTAGGAGGCGTGTCGATTCGGACTGGCGGAGTTGCCTGCGATAGAGATGATGCGCAACCAAACGAGCGTAAAATCGTCACAGCCGTCACCGGGAGGGATACAATTCTTGTCGGAGAGAAATGAAGCTCAAGAAATGATTCTGAAGAATACTCCAGCGTTATCCGTGGAGTAGGGAACGATTAGTCGCGGGCTTTTTGATGGCCGTGGGCTTGCCAATTGGAGCAGAAACTTTTTTTATTTCTCTCCAGGCAACGCGGAGGAGGAACTGAACCCTGAATTCCAGGAATCTCGTGCCAAAATTTCCAGAACTAGGACTATGACCTGGTGGAGGACCCGCTGATCCAGGGACAAAGAGCAATTGGTGTCTCTTACCACTGCCGGTTGGCCAACAACACCATACACTTCGTACTACGTATGGAGTCCACCAGCCATCAACCTCAGCCCCATTTGTTTCATCTCATGACTCTTAGGGCCTAGCCTGCAGTAGCCCACCAGCCTGGCTTTCTGCCCCTTATCAAGCCCCCATGGACCTTAAAGGGGCTGACACAGCTTTACGAGGAGAACCAGGTACAAGGCGGACCCCCTGAAAGGTCAGCATTTTCGATTGGGGTGGTTTCATTCAACGCCAACTCTCTCGTGGAACTCGTCATCCCATCTCATTTTGTTCTCGCTACTTGTTCTCCATCCAGGGATTCGCGATCTGACGCTTGACATCGGCGCCCCTTACCACCATTTTCCTTTTCCTTTATCTTTACTGGCATCTCTCCGGTCTGGAGAAAAATCATATCGGCAAATTATCCTTGACAAGGGCCTGCTCCATGTCTAACCATCTGCCTTTTCTGAGAGGATCCAAAGTCTTCAGCATGTCCAACCATTCCCGTATCTTTCTGTTATCATCTTTCTGCATGCCCTTGTTCAATTTTGCTTCCAACAGCGTGCATTCGATCAATGCCTGGTACGGCCATTTGCAGTCTTGAGCATCTTCCAACACTTCTTCGATATACTCCTTCTCCGATGCGATGTATTTCAGCCGCTGATCATTAGAAAGATTCGGCGCCATGCTCCTGGCTGCCTGGTCCGGGTCGAACGTGCACATCAGATTTTGGTGATAGAACCACAGTGATTGGTCATATGGGTCGAATAATGCTTTATGGATCAGTTCGAGCTCTGTGTCGATCAGTATGCCAAAAGTCAGCGTCGTGGGACTGCTCTTGCACCTTCATCCAGCATTTTCTGCCTTTCATCGTCACTTGCATTTTCCTCATCCAAGATCCGGAGAATAAGTATCGTTCGGTTATGCCAGGCGGAGAAATTGGACAAGTTCGTTTCAATCATTTTCTTAGTATAGTCGAATTCCTTCCGTGCCATGCTCTGACCCTGCAAGGCTTCACTTTCGAGGTTTTGTACCACGATTCGCCGGTATCCCCATCCATGGAAATTTCGGCTGTCTCGACTGAGCATCTTTCCGACTAGCCCAAGCTCTTCCTCCCATAACTTTCGAGCTTGTGATGCCGGGAGGAGGATTGTGGATTGGTCGAGAAGCCACAATCGGTGATTCCATATCCAGTAGCACTTGGGAAATTTGAGAAGAAGAGGAAATAGAAATTGCAAATCCAATTGTATGATATCCAATACTTGGCTCACCCTATTATCTTCGTCTATATCACCCGAAGAGACGGCTTTCTCGAGGTCGTGAAATTCGTTGACATAGATACGACGACGGTGATTCCAAATAGTGTAGTACTCTGGATTCTTCTTCAAAAGCTCAGCAGTTTTTTGGAGTAATTGAGGCGTAAACTCTCTAGCATCAACCTTTTACCCATTTACAATCAGCACAAACGTCTCAGGAGCTGATTCAAGATTTGAAGACCTTTTTATTGACTTCCTCCACCAGCTGTTGATATTGAGAGATCTCTTTCAACTCCTTCTGCCGTGCTTCGGCCGTCCTCGCTTCACGGGTTGCCGTCCGTGGAACTCCGTGCTGCCAATTCCGGTCAGATTTGCTTACCTGCAGCAATGTCTAGACGCCTTACACCTGTCATGACTAAAAAAAGCTTTTCGAGAAATGCCGTACGGTAAGATCGATTGCTTAACGGGAGGAGGGTGTGATAGAAGAGAAAAACGGAAGAACACTCGGAAAGCAGAAGTCTTCTCTAAATTAAGACTCAGGCAACAAATATTCTATTTGCCAACATGCCCGACAACATTCATACTGACCAAGTGGCAAGGAAATCTCCCGCTGAATTTGGCGGTTGGTGCCGCCGCTTTTGTGGGCGTTTTCCCCTCGATGCCAAGAATGCTAAACTGATCTTTCCCCCAACCTGGTTTAACTTGAGACTTCCTCCCACTGCCACAGAGAGAGAGGATCTCCTCTGACTTTCACGAAATCATCTCGAACAGCGCCCCATCTCTCATCTCTTTTCACACGTTCAATCGATTCTCCGTTTAATCCGGCTGCGAGAGTCCTCTGCCTCTCCTTTTCATGAGAAACTTTCCCCTGGCTTTGATATCCTAGGTATTGGGAACTACTTCGCGTCATCTGCTACCATTGGGAAGGGAAAGGAGTTGGAGAGAAGAGGGCTTTTGTGGAGACGGTATGGCCCGTGCAACATCTAAATCAGAGGCTAACAGCCCAATATTCCCTCGAGCATTATCGACGACATCGGCGACAACTCGTCGAGAAGGCTACCGTAAAGAAGCAGTATGCGGGCTCGACGAAAGAAAATACTTGGGCTGTTGATGAATTTATCTCCTTTTCTCGTTCCCAAATATCTCTTACCCTTACTTGCGCCAATTCCCAATGCTGTCCGATCGTCTCCTGCCGCATTTGCCACCGCGCTCTCTCGTGGATCCGCTCTTTTCCCAGTGTCCTCCCGCAATCTCTCTCTTTCCCGTTGGCTCATGTGATGGTCCGAGATGGGGACTGGATTGTGTCATTGACTGCATTTTTGATGAGAGGGATATCCTCGGCGATGGATAACTTCGCGAGATGATGGATCTGGTTCGACGTCGGTTGCTCCCTGCTCTTCCGCGCGTATATCTCCACGCTCTTGACGAAGGCCTCAAAGAGCGGATCTGGTAGCTTCTGACGCTGTCCTCTATCCAGGGATAGTAGAGCTTGTCGCTTCTGCTATGAGATGGTTGCATGCTCATGAAGGTTGAATGGCTGTAAGCCCAGTTCTGGCCACTTTGTCTTGTTGACCATGGCTTCGGCTGCAATCCTGAGTCCGGGCCCATATGGGGCTGTCAACCCCGTTGAACAATAGATCCGTGTCTCATCGTCATGGTTGGGACGAATTATCCATATGGACAAGGAAAACATCAAGTGTCATCAATTCATCGTGGCTGCGTACCGTAACGGGAATGAAGACCCATGGCAGTCTTGCCAAACCCGCTCTACTTAGCTACACGTAATCAGCCTAAGGGCTGATAGGGCACACTGGGTCGCAAGAGTCAAGCATCAAGCAATCACGCGAAGTCTCAGCTTCGATTTCGAATCCGTCCCACGAGGGTATCATTTCTAAACTCCAACCTAAGCGCCTTCACCGACTGATACTCTCCTCCTAGCACTTTCGTATGATGGCGTCCTCAGGAAACCCTCATCAACGTCTTTCTTTCCATCCAACTGTGACTTTTCATCCGTAGTCGACCTCTTCGTCTTGGTCTTTGGTACTATTACTGCTTTTCAGAAAATTTGCTAAGTCCACCGTCTGAAGCACAAGAATCTCGAATCCAAGCATGCTGTAATAGTCCTTTGGTCGAAAGACGCCGGTCGGGCTCATAAGTGAGAAGACCCTGTAATAAAATCGAGGACTAATTCACACTCTTCGAGCTGCACATCAGGGTGCTTCTCGTCCAACCATCTTTCTCGTAGCGGTGGATTGAGAGCAGTGTACTCCGCAACTGATTCGGGAAGGTCTTGGTCTTTACGTATCTTGCGCTCACAAACTTTGACGATCGATGGATGAAGTTCGTGGTCGAAGTATTCTTGAGGTGTTCCTAGGTGATCCGGCGGGGCGATAGAGAGGCTTCGTCAGTCTTTTGTTGGAGGTCATCGTCCACTGTGCCGGACGTTGTGCTGTGACAAACTTTTTCAGCTGTGCTTCATCGTCAAAGTATACTCCATAGCGTGGCCAGCTATGCTTGAGCCTGGCTGGGAGCGGACCTAGGAGTGAGAACAGCTGAATGAGGTGCGCGTCATCGCGAGAATCCTTGTTGTATATGAAAGCCAAATCGAACAGACAACTATTTGTAAGAACGTTGTAGGCGAAGCAGCCGAAGACCCAACTACCCTGCGTCATAGAAATGTGGTTATCAAATATCATTTCCGGACTCCTGATTTCCAGGGGCGTTTCGAGTTTGTCTGGTGGATCTTCCACGAAAAAGCCTGGATCGGCCAGTCAATATCGAACAAATACGTTATCGCAGTGGGTATCACTTACTGTTTCCAGGTCTGATAACTTGACGTTGCTATCAGTGGAGAGAAATCGATTCAGTGGCCGGTTTAGAGTGCGATGTCGAGGGTCTCCTGGTTGCTAAGGGCCACTGATGCGTTTGACATCCACAGATACTTGATCGGAAGGGAGGATATTTGGCAAGTCCAACGGGGAAAGAAGGTAGCCTTATCATCGCTTTGTCGTGATCAAACGACCAAGTTTTTGGAGATTTGAAAAGAAGTTGAAGGGGAAGATGGTCCATTGAGATTGCAGACCAGCTTCATTACGGTAGACTGCTCATGGAGCGGGAGTGATATTGCATGTTGATAAATGGAAGAATGGAATAGTAGGGTGCCATGACTGCATTTTTTATCTCACAATATTCATATTCATATTTTCATGTCAGCCAGCCGGTGGATGTCAGTCATTCCATCCCAAGTCTGCTCTTTTTCACCACCACATAATAACTCTATCCATTCCAACACCATATGTTCCTCAACGTCATGACATTCAGAAGATTTGCTTTTCTTTTTGCTTTAGCTCGGCGCATTCAGCTCCTTCGTGCTTGACCCCATACAATTTTTGTTGTTGGGTTCGTGACGTGATGCGAGAAGCGACATTGCGAGTTTACTCCTTCAACTTTTTCCTACGGTTCGACTCATTAGTAACTGCCGACGCTGTCTTGGAATTAGACCCTGGGGCAGGAATTCGCGGCTTGACTTTAGTCTTAAGCTCAGGCTCCTGCTCTTCATCTTCTCCTTCATCCTCGGCTTGGCTGCTGTCGCCAGGAATGTGGACGTCATCTTCGTCCTCGGCAACTGAGATGGAACCGTCGTTGATGAAACTGTTCATTTCAGAGTCTTCGTCGTCGTCGCCCTCTTCGCTCCCGCTCTCGGATTCGTCGGCTGAGTCTTCATCTTCACTGCTACCGGCGGCATCGGAAGCTGAGCCGTCGGGATCCGAGTCTTCGTTATCCGTTACTTCCGCTTCGTCATCGAGGAGGAGGCCATTTCGCTCGTCTTCCTCATCCTCATCTTCCTCTTTGTCAGAGTCCAAATCGCCGTTCGCAAGAGGCATGATCTCATTCTCATCATCGTCCGCTATGAGATCTTCCAGGGCCATTCTTCTCGCTTTGCCTTTCCCTTTGCCCTTGATCCGTTTCGTCGGCCGTGATGCATCCTCGTCGAGATCCTCATCTTCGCTGTCCCAGTTGTCCGTGCCTTCGATGTAAATCATACCGGGTTCATCTTGCTCGCGCCTGGCCGGCCGCTGTGCTGCGAGTTGTTTGCGATACTCGAGCTGTGCATCTAACATGTCCAACTTCCCCTTAAGCAGCAGGAGACTATCAAGAGTTTTGGACCGCTGCGTCAGGACTTGGTACAGCGTCCGCACTTTTGCTGTAACGTCTGGCTGGGCCGCGATGGCGCCGCCATGCGCAATACACGTCCACTGAACCCAGGTGATCAGGTGGCCGTAGCGGCCTGGTCGGCTGGCCAGGCGCTCGGCGAGTTTGGAAAGTAGGAGACCAGCCAAACTACTGTCGAGACGTTGGATGGTGTTCTTGACGATGTTGGTGTCTAGTGTGTGCAAGCAGGCTTCGAGCAGGGTTCGGTCGTTTGTTCTCAGAGATTGTGTGAGAACCGCACCGAGGGACATGCCAGATGGGAGGAGGGGTTTGTTGTGTATGAATGGGATGGATATTGGAAAATTATCGGGTTGTTCTGTTGGAACAGCGGAGATCTCGTGCGGGTGCTGGGAGGCGAGGCGCTCGCCGAACGTCTGCTCCGTTTGGACAAATTCCTCGTCTTCCGGCTCATTTGCAACTTGGTCTACTGTATCAGCCATCACTTCATCTGCATCTACGCTGGCAGCTCGTTCGTCATCGACATCTTGTGCGTCATTCGTTTTCATCTCGTCGGCAGAGTCTTCATCTTCTTCATCTTCTCCGTCACTTTCGCTGCTTGAGATTTCGATGGCATCCGATTGAGGTCTAGCCCCTGCTCCGCCATTGACGACCACAGTTCTTGATTCGTCAACATGCGCTTTACTTGTATCCTTGGCGCCAGTCAGAGTGACTGTGTTCAAAGTAGATGCGCTCGTGACTTTGACCACCTCTTTGGTTCCTTCAAAGAGTAATTCTCCATTTCCCTCGTCTTGCCATCTTATCTTTTGGAAGGAAAAATCTATTCCACCATCCGCAGAAACAACGACGAGATCAGGGCCCTGTAGAGATGCGGAGATGATTGGGACCAGTTTGCCTTTGTTATCAGAGCTGATCAATCGGACTGAAGCAGAAGGCTTCTTGGTAAGGGTTTTTCTGCTGGACTTGAGGTCGCCGTTTAATTGCTTGGACTGAGCCAAAGGTTGAGAAAATAGTTCCACAGTTCCCACTTTCGTCACTGCGCACAGAACCTGCTGCCTCAAGACTTCCGAGGTATCCTTTGGAGGACTGGACAAATCTGCACTGGTGATGCCCGCACCCGCTACCAAAGTCCGCACCAACTTCTGTTTGGGGATATCGTACACATTGAGGTATCTGTCGGTGTCTGCTGCCAGGAAGTACTCTGGATTCGTTGAATCGCTGAAATTTGATCGGAACAGTTGATGGACTGGGTTTTTGAAGGAATCGTAGCGCGCTATCCGAAAGTCGTCGGATGACTGGACATCAATGGCGAACGGAGTAGATGATGCACAAAGTATTTGAGGAGGATTCCGTGAAGGTGTGGCAAGGATATTGATGGCCGGGTCGGGGAGGGATATCGTTCTGATCTCGTTAGCTACCGATTGCTGCCCGGCAGAGATATGACCGGTACAAACCGGGTGTGCCGATTTTGGACGAGGTCCCATTGCACCAGCCTGGCATCTTCACCTATGCTCCATCCTTGTTTGTAGTCCGAGGAATCAAACTTGAAATCCTTGACACTTCTCTCATGCGCCCCGCTTAAGGTGGCTAAGAGCTTGCCTTCTGTGGGCGAAAATATGCGGACCTCCGAGGTGCTTGTCCCATAGGCAATTACCACCCCTTCGTTGTTGCTCTGGTCCCGCTTCCGTTTTTTCTTGGAAGATTCTTGTTGCTGTTCCCGATAGGCAGAGCCATAAAAACCCCAATCAAGGCAGGTGATTTTAGATCCCGGTGCAGCGCTATGTTGGCAGCGCAGGCGGCCAGTATTTGTGTCGTGGATGCGCAGCTGTTGGGTGTCGAAACTCTGGATGACCAAAGCAAACAAATGCAATTGGAACTGTGAGGGTGCGAAGGCACATTTCAGCAGTGCGGACTTTGGAGCAGAGACAGTCGTTGACGATGCAGAGACAGCGGGCGTAGAAGTGGAGGAAACCTTGGAGACTGCGGTGGACGAGGATTTTCGACCCATTTTGACGTTGGTTGCGGGTGTATTGAAGGGCGTGAAAAGGAGCAATGGACGCGGATAACCAAGTTTGACTACAACATCGTAATCCCGTTAAATGTTGAGTGTGCAGTTTGCTCCCACAAACACAGCGGCAGTTCACAAGTTCACAGCAAAAAAAAAAAAATTATGGAGACCGGAGTTTAGCAGTTGAAATTGACGTTGCACCGCCGCCTTAATTCTTCACCACCTAACTAACGCTTCGGGGACTAGCGCCTCTATCTCCATATGATTCTTTGTACAAACTATATGCCTGTTTTCAACTTGACACTCCCTCATCTTTTCAGCCCTTCTTTTGGATCACAGCTCCTCAAGAGTGGCCCTTGCGAAAGCTGTCAAACTAGTTTCGTCTCTACTTGTCTCAGGAAACTGACTACCTTCCTGGAAATCTCTGGGACGCTGGCACGGGGGAGGCCATCCCTCCATATACGCACCTCATGGTTTCCTTTGGCCTTTTCTTTATGTCCTAGAACTTGGATCCAGGCTGACAGACACAGATCGTCCATTGAGATCCATTAACACAAGTTTGATCGCGCCTTTGTCGGGGAGTCCCAAATATGACATGGCACGACCCAGGCTGCCTCTACCCCAGTTAGGCAACCATTCCTTCCACGGGAGGAGTCTTCATGGAATCTATTTTGCTGATAAACCGGAAAAAAGGGTAGTTGCGTTTGCGATTTTATCTGGCCAGATTTGATCTCTCCTGGCTTTGTCCGCGGCTTGACCGGTGAGGCCGGTAAGCGACGGAAATTACTCAACAGGGGGAGGATAGCCTGCTGCAAAATGACCTTGACGGTCGCAGGAGCCAACAGTCCAGCAAAGATCCAGAAGAATATTCGGCCAACTTGGTTCTTTGCCTGGTAAGCATGGTGCAGGCAAGAACAGAGGATTTGATACAGCGAACGCCTGCAGGCAAAGGGAGACCGAGCCAGACATGTATGACTCATCCGGGCCACTCACGTGACATCATGTGACATCGACGCCGAATTCAAGATGATCGTGTGACATGAATTGCCTGATGCTTGGAACAAGTTGGAGGATACGACCAGAACCCAAGATACAGATATCATCCGTGCCAAAGCAGAAGCAAAAGATGGACTGAGAATGGAGGCGTGTATGCCATCACACAGCGGGATTTGCCAGGAGGCGAGGGAAAGGAAAAAAAGAGAGGGGTGAGCAAAAGGCAGTGAAAAGCAGTGGAGGCCCTGACATAGGAGGGTGGCGCTTTTGCGTATTTGGCAGGGGTATCTGATGGAGAGTCTAGTACCCGGGAGGACAAGTGGGAGCTGGGGGGCAATCACAGCGGCCAATGAGACCCAAAAATGCTAGGCTGGTTGTGGCAAGCGCATGAGAATATCACCAATTGTCAGCCACAACAAAATCAGGTGGAACCCGCAGCAGGTCGGAGGCGAGGAGACGGGGAACTTGGAAGCCTCAGGAAGCTCAGGAAGCAGCTCTCAGGCCAAGAGGCCAGGGATTCGCAGGGTGACAGGGATTCGCCGGGTCGCGCAGGCCACACGGCAGTCCCAGGCCGAGGCTACTTAAAAGATTTCGCGCCCCTCGATCAATTTTCACTGCTCCTAAAAGTGTAGACAGCAGCGAACTGCCGTGCCCCCCAAAACACCGCGGACACCGCGTCTCATCTCTTTTTCTCTCCTCCCCCGCCAAGCCGGAATTTAATTCGCTTCTGCTCCACGACGCGTCTGCGCTCTATTGTCCCATAACCCGAACCCTTGGAGCCTGCACTCCTCTGCATCCTTATTCCATCACTCTGTCGCGCGCGCGGGCCCCCATCATCGTGACATCAACATTAACGCATCCAACAACTCTGGTCATCAGTTATCAGTCAGCGGTTGGCAGCTGCTCGGACTGCCTGCTCGGACTAGCTGCACTGCGCCTCATTACGACACGACACAATTCCTGCTGGTGCGACAAGTCTGATGCCGCAGCCGGGCGTGAATTGATCGAGATTGAATTTCGAAGCGGAACGTGAGTTGGTCACGTGGTCAACCTGCCGGCAAATCTTGGCGGGACGTGGCCACGTGATACCCTCATTTGCTATCTCCCGACAGAAAAACTTTATCTCATCTTCGACCGTCGAACTTTTCTTGATCTTCCTTCGCCATCACCATCGCCATCCTCAATCACCAATTGAGTTTCTTCCTCCTGTTGCCACTTGATTGTGTCAGCATCAGGCTCCCTCGATCTCCAAATTCGCCTCGACTATTTATTGATCGCGCCTTGTCCTTTTCCACTGCCTTTGCGACAACACACGCCTTCTCCTTTTCTCTGCGCGCTTTGTCCAGTTCTCCCTTTCTGGCGCAACCGTTCGCCACCTTTCGCCTTGTAAGATATTTTTTCCAACTTAATAATTAATTTTTTCCCTCCCACCGGTTATCTTTCGGCTGGTCCGATCACCGTCAGTTTCCTCCATCGGCATTTGATATCTTGGCATCATGGACGTTGAAATGCAGATGGGAGCCAATGGGTGAGTTGGCTTTTGTGGTATTCCATTCTCTTGTCACTCAATCTAACTCTCACCAGGCTCCCTGTTAAATTTAGCTCAACCTCAGATCAACCACAAGAATCTCATGTTGCCGGCAATCTGGCCGCCACAATATCGAATTCAGAGGCTTCTGTCAATCCGCTCCCCCCTGAACCGGAAGAAAATGTGTGGCTGGAGGCAGTTCCCGAGACAGTTCCCCAGCCTGTTCCAGAGCCAGTCGTGGAGGCAGCGCCTGAAGCACCAGTTGACGCTGTCACGAACGGCATAGCGGATCATGTGAAAGAACCTGCCGGTCAATCTATTTCTGCCGTTCCTGATTCGCAACCTCAGTCTACTCTTGATACCACCCCTACCGCGCCTCCAGCAGCGACGTCAATATCTGAATCGAACCTCACTGAATCATTTGTGCCTTCTTCCATCCCAGCTGAGATCCCCTCTTCGGCCTCTCCGGTAGAGACAAGTCAGTTCGCCATGGATATTTCAGAGCCTCAACCAGTTCCGTCCCTACCACCCACTTCCGATCTTCGAACCTCCCCTCATGCGGATGCGCTCACTCCCGAGGCTGCTGCCGAAGTCGAAGCTCGGAAGCATCAGCTGGATAACTCCGCCGATGTCTCGGTCACACTTGCCAAACCCGAAATCACCGAGACGTCCTTCTCGACTATCCCTCCGCCGGTGGAGTCGGCTCCGGCCACTCAAGCTCCAGTCACCAATATTGGTCTTCCATCTCCTCCGGCTCAGTCACCGCCACCGGCGCCACAATTGGCCCACGTGACCTTGCCGGAAGAGAAGCCAACCAGGCAATCGATGGAACCACCGACGGAACCAGCAACAATTCCACCTCCAGTCGAAGAACCCAAAGTGCCCGCTCAGGCAGAGGCCGAAGATCAGGTGATGACGGATATTGCAGCTCAACCAGTCAAGCAGGCTCGGGAACGAGAGGATGACACTGTGGAGATGGAGCCCGCACCAAAACGTGTCAAGACAGACGAGCCCCAACCGAGGGCGGAAGAACCGGAATTCAAAGTTCCGGACGTGCCTGCGTCGTCTGCACCGTCACAGATGCCCAACGGTGACACCGCGGCTGCTATGAACGGCGCAGATGATGGTGATGATTCTGTGACTCCGGCGCGTTTGGCACACATGAAGAGAGTGATATCAAATTTGAAGAAGAGCAATGCTTCTGCGGCTTTCCGACTCCCCGTTGATTATGTGGCTCTCAATATTCCGTCCTATCCAGATGTTATCAAGCATCCTATGGATTTGGGTACCATCGATCAACGACTGAAGCAGAACAAATACACGTCTCTTGCGGCATTTGTCAGCGACTTCCAATTGATTGTGAACAATTGTTTCACATTCAACGGTCCGGATCACGCTGTATCCCAAGCAGCCAAGAAGATGAAGTCGTCGTTCGATGGACAGATGAAAAATTTGCCCAAAGCTAGTGTTGAAGAGCCATCAAAGGAGACCAAGAAGGCTGCCAAAAAACAGGAACCGACAAGATCAGCACCCCCACGCCGACCATCAGTGACCACGTCGACTGCTCCCGGAGGGACCGCTGGTTCACCAAAATCTGCCGTTCCACCAACACCGTCTTTTGCGCCCGGACCTGATGGTATCCCACTTATTCGACGCGATTCAAGCTTGGCCGATGGTCGGCCGAAGAGAGCTATTGTCCCTACAAAGCGCAACCAAGAATTCGGTGGAGGTCGGCCCAAGAAGAAGAAGTACGAGTTGCAATTGAAGTTCTGTAATGAGGTGTTGAAGGAACTCACGAGCCCGAAATATTGGCAAATCAACCAGTATTTCACTCATCCGGTCGATCCGGTGGCCCTGAATATTCCTACCTATTTCCAAATCATCAAGAAACCCATGGACTTGGGCACCGTCAAGCAAAAACTCGACAACAATGTCTACGAGAAAGCCAAAGATTTTGAGGAAGATGTTCGGCTTATCTTCAAGAACTGCTACAAATTCAATCCGGATGGTGACCTGGTCAATACGTCTGGCCACCAATTGGAAGAAATGTTCAACAAGAAGTGGGCTACCAAGGACGAATGGATTGGGGCTCGTGAACCACAATCTGAACCTCAATCGGGTGTCGAGGATGAGGAAGAGGAAGAGGATGAGAGCGAGGAAGAGGCTGAGGACGATAGCGACCAAGAACGAAACGACAAGATCAAACGTCTGCAACAACAGATTGAAGAAATGTCGAAACAAATGGGTGAATTGGCACAGAAGAAGAACAAGAAGTCCAAGTCACCCCCGACCAAGAAGAGCAAATCCAAATCAAGCAAGAAAGACAAGCCTGCGGCGAACTTCCCCAATCTCGGCAAGGACAAGAAAGAGAAGAAGAAACCTGCTCCCAGATCGAGACCGGAAAAGGATCGTTATGTCACCTTTGCCGAGAAGCAATACATTTCTAATGGGATTGCCATGCTACCGGAGAAGCAGATGCAGGAGGCACTCAAAATCATTCAAAACAGCGTCCCGTCCTTGGCCAACAGTGATCAAAATGAGATTGAACTGGACATTGAGGAAGTTCCCAATCATGCTCTTCTCAAATTGCTCAACTTTGTCAAGAAATATGCCGGACCTCCTCCAGATGAGTCCAAAGCCGAACCTGCCGAAGTCTACAATCCTGCACCAGTACAGAAAACGAAGAAGGGTAAACCCATGAGCAAGCATGAACAAGAGGCTCAAATTGAAGAATTGAAGGGCAAGTTGGGTGCTTACGCTGGACCAATATCTCCAAATGCTGTTCCTTCGATTGAGACGGGCGAGAGCAGTGACGATGATGGTGATTCGGAGGAGAGTGAGGAGGAGTAGATGAAAGGCGAACTGACAACGGGCTTGACCATTTGACTGTTGCATTGTTATTCAGCATGACATGGATCCCTTCAGGGTTTTTCAAGAAAAGAATCCTCTGGCAACAGAGACTGGTTTGAGAAGAGGACATTGTCCCAAGGGTTAGTGGTGCTTAGGGCTTGATGAATGAGGTAGTGGTGATTTAAGAGACACCTTTTTGAAGCAGGGTATGCCGTTGAAGAGTGCTGAAGGTGAAAAATGAAATGAATGAACAAGAAGATTGCCAAGCCATTAAACATTTGTCCTAGTAGAAATTATTTGTCGCAGCTGATCATTTGCTGAGAGGAAAATTGCACTAGTAGGCAAGCCAATGAAATGCCCGAGAAGTCAAATTGTTCCCTCTTGGGCGTCAAACAACCGAATTGCGCGAAGCTTTGCGCTCTTATTGACCACCAAACCCAGCCAACATTGAAAATAACCAGACATGAAAGGCAGGATCAAGAGCGTTGATTGGGACATCATAAAACTAGTCCTGCTGCGACATGATTTCTCCTCTGTCTGCTGCTGATCTAGACGCCAACCCGGCCTTTGCAAAGACATGGCAGTATATCACGACGGAGATTCTAGAGCGCGACGCCTCGAGCAAGAAGACCAATGAGGCGAGGAGGAGATACGAGGGCCTCAATCCACTTGTGATCAGTAGAGCAGACGGCAATGAGGAGGACTCGAAAGAGGATGGCCTCGAAGAGAGTCTGGACGACGCAGAGGAAAATACAAAAAAGAAGAAAGATCTCGAAGAACAATTGCATGCCTTCCGAGTCAAGAGGTTCAAGATGGATATTCTTTGTGAAGTCCTGGCGGATCTCCCATATCACTTCGAAGTTCAAGGGCGAAGTCAAAGTCAAGATGATAATCGGGGCCCAGAGCAGAGTATGCCCGCGGAGGAGATGGAGAGGGATAGCTCTACGCACGCCGACGCCGATTTCAAGACCCAGCAACAACATCATCAGTCGCTGCCAGCATTAAGGGATCTCTTGCTTCTCATTCCAGCATATCTCGACGCCACAAGAACAAGGACGCTGGACAAAATCGAGAATTTCCCTCCTGAACCACTAGTATCTGGCCATTCGCTCAGCCTCGGCGTTGAAGAACAAAGTTTACTTTCCCACGACATCGAACAATTCAAAACGAATATCCCAACCATCGCTGCCTTGATGTCTTCGCGGTTCATTGAACTTGAGAAATCCTTGTGTGCTATTGCTCGCGTTGCCATCGAGGACGGAGACGAAGACGTTCACAAGCACCTACAACCACAACCACAATCGTTGACCGCAATCCTAACGCCTCAAATATCCTGCCTCTCCAACCTCCGCGACACAGTCCTCCCATCCCATCTCACGCAACTCACAAACACAGTCCAAACGCTCCTCACCCTTCAACGCGTCCTGCTCCGTGTTCAAATCCAGCATCTCGAAGCGCACAAACACGGTGCCATCTCCCGCTTGAATCTCGCGAGGGCAACATTCCTCTCTACAGTTGCGAGCACGATGGATTTGAAGGTCAGAGTCATGTTGCTTGAAGCAAGAAGGGATCTTGAGAGTAGTGCTGAAGCGCAAGAGAGGAGAGCGTGGATTAAGAGGAAAACGAAGACATTAGAGGGAGAGGAAGAAAAGTTAGATGGGAGGAAAGCTGAGTTGGAAGTGGTCCTTGGGGAATACGAGACGACGGATCCGACGCCGGAACTGGGAATGAGTGTGATGAGGAAGTTAGGCACCAAATACAGGGAAGTGGAAGGTGAGATGGAGGCGGTCAAGGGGGATATTAGACGGCTAGAGGCTCGAATATAGTGTCTCAATAGGCCGGATCAAGCCTATATCTACATTTGTTGACATGATCGACGCAAATTCGGCTATTCCATAGTTTGGAAGTTGGTGATTTGAGGAAAATGTCTTCCACCCCCACTGGCCTTTCTTCACACCTCGCATCTCACACTTTACGCTTCCCACACCCTCGCTGTCCTCGGCCAGACACGTTTATACAAACTGACCCCTACCGCGTCCATCGTATTGATTTTCCCGTCAAACGTGGCCTTAAAATACCCGTGCGTCCCTAGCGGTTCCCTGATGAAACCCTGACGTCCACGCTTCGTCCATAACGGCAACGCCGCGAACCATAAGACGTCCGCCCTGTCGAAGAACATGTATCGGACTGTGACGAGTTTTTTGTGGATTTTGAACGGATGTCCGGTGAGAATTATGCGTTTGGCGATAACTCGCGAGCTTGACGGTGGGAGGGTGGTTGCGGTGCCGATTAAACGTAGGCGAGGCGACGACAGGGAAGGCGGTATTCTGGTGTTGGCGCTGGAGTCGCTGAGGGTCGGAGCAGCGGTGTCGGAGTCACGATCTCCTTCGCGGCGGAAGACTAATACGGGGACAGAACCCCATGTTAATGGGCCAGTGAATGTGGCGATGGCAGTTCGTCCGGGATGAAGGAATCGGTCAAACTTATGGACGTCGTTGGGTGTTACGCCTGAGGCTGAGAAGATAGGGTTGATGATGAGTCGGCGGTGGCCGATTTGGACGATCAGTTCGTCTTTGGACTTTATCGGGGCGTCCAAGTTAGAGTGTAATGAGAGGTTGAGGTTGATGACGGCATGTTTATGCTCGTGCCGGAGCAGAGAGAACATGGACGCCGGAGCCGGTGTTTTGACGAGGGAGATAGGGACATCCCGCAGTTCAATTTCGGCTTTTGTCCCAGCGAGGACCTCGCCGGCCAGAGCCTCTTTGAGTGCTGCGCTATAGGATTTCTTGTAGTCTGCTATTTGGAGGAGACGCTTGTACTCCACCGGTTGGTAAGGAGCATCTTCGGCGTGGTTCCACTCACTGGTCCGCAAGCTTTTCAGACCACGGTATTTAGCTAATCTTTCTCGAGCGAGGACGTTTGGGTGAAGTTCAATCTCATCCGGAAACTCGAGGTCTTCCTCTGCTTCTTTTTTTCTACTGGCTCGGAATTCTTCTAGTTGTCGTGTTTCCTCCTCTTCATCGGCGTCGACGTGCATTTCGGATGCAGGATATTCTGAAGGTCCTGCTTCGGTCATGGTGTCTATTCCATTTGGAAGGGCACCATCTTCCGGTCTCAGATCGTCTCCTGTGTCCATGGCAACAGCGCTGTCGCTCTCTTCGTCGAGAATATCGGAATCGGAATCAGATACATCATCAAGAAACCATGCAGCCTGGTAGTTGGAGGTTCCTTTGGGAAGCCTTTTGGGTGGTGGAGGAATATGAGAATTGTCGTCAGAAAAGTAGTGATGGTCATCAAGTAAAACGCCTTTATGCTCTGTTGTGGCCGCTATATTGGCAATATCCTGCATGTCGGCTGGTTCAGGTGCCAGCTCTGCCAGGTCGTCTTGATCAGTGGTAGGTCGCCATTCCTTCACAGGCTCGTCGGCGTCCATTTCATGTGCTTTTCTTTTATGTGCCTGGCTTGGAAGTTGTCTGATTGTGTTAACTTGGAAATCTCCCCAACCTGGCACATGGACCAGTCGATCAGGATTCAACGCCTTCCCACGGACAGTCCCAGAAAGTGTGACGGCGGTTGTGGAAGCACCGTCGACCGTGGGACTCCAGTGGAGATTTTCAATCAACATCCAACTTCTATCGTCTCGCCACCGTATTCCTCTCGTTGATGCTGTGCAGATACTTCTGACCAAGTTAGAGCAATCGGATTTGCTGTCAAGACTCGATAATTTATCAAGGCCAGGAAAATAATGGCCCAGGATGATTTTCAGATCCGTCAGATGGCGTGACCTCTTGGCAGGTGGAATCTTAGCTTCAATGTCTTTGACAACCGCAGAGACATTTGTGATTCCCTGGCCTTCGAGGGCCTTCAAGAACGAATCCTCCTCTTCACCGATGGATTGCTCTGCATCAAGAACAAAAGTCACCCAATCAGCCAATTTGCAAACGTCGAGCGCATTGAGGAGATCGAAGCGCGCTGGAAGGTAGAGTAGATTGCGGCGAAATCTATCGACTCGAACCGGCACTGTTCCGCTAGGTATTTCGCGATCGGGAATGTCAACACTTTTATTCAGAATTCTGATGGCAGAGTACGGATCGATACCTCTCGACAGCGGCACGATTGCGATGTGTTTTGCAGCCCCATCTATTCCCTGAAAGATATTTTCATCCCCTTCGCGTTTGTCCTTGTGATGTAGCCGGAGTTGCTTTGCTTGATTGCGTCTCACAAGTTTCGACATGACTTGTTGGTGGGGAGTTTTCCTTTGACCCTTTTCTATCCTCCGAGTCTCAATTTTCCCTATTCGTATGTTAGGGCGGCTCCCAGTACCAGAAATCTCCTTTCCTACCTTTGGCTTTATCCTTCAGTGCACTTTTGGAGGCAAACCGTGACTTGAAGGGCTTATGGTCAACTTTTGTGGTACTTCTGTGATGATGGACAGAAGTAGTGATTGGAGCCATTGCAACATTATTTTCAGAACCTCCAGCTTTGAACCTGAAGGGCAATGACATACCAAGTACCAGATATATGCTGGTGCCAGAGGCGCAGGCCAAAAAAAAAAAAAAATAGTTGCAGTGTGATGCAATTCCAGTTTAGCCCCGCGAAATCTTGGCTAGCTTGACGAGGCAACACCCTCATGTGACTCTGTCAGGCGCTCACCTGCTGCGCCGCTTGGGGAGTACCCTTTGACTTACACTTACTCTCTCGACTCTTTCCCTCCGCGATTTACAAGATCCTGGCATTCGACTGCCAGCCCAAGGGAAGCGATGATTCTGACGAAAATGCTATGGACAATATTTGATAGAAAAATCTGATTCCGGTACTATGAAGAGGGCTTCCGACAAGTAAGGGCCTCAACTATGTTTGTTTTGAGCTAATCGTAAAGCGTCCATAAATGCGCAGGAACTGAACCTTTCCGTGAACTGCGTCATGGTCCATTCCATGGGATCTGAAACCGGTACATAGGGCGCAACCCCAAAGGCCGACATGCAACCATGTTCAGAAATGAGACTTGATGTTCCACCACTTCTTCTCTCCATACCTAGCACCTGGCTCATCATCCACTTGACGAGATACAGCCTCCTCCACCTCTGATCCATATACCAAACTTGGGTTGCGGATCGTGTCTCCAACCTCAAACCATTTTCCCGTTGGGCTCAAGGCCGGGATCGGGAAGGATTTGCACAGCAAGTAATACACAAGCCCGCTCACGATAAATCCCGCGAAGAAATTCAATCTGTAGATATACGTGGCGCCAATGGGTACGTCTGTACCGACGGCGCCTGCGAAGCCGACAACGTTGATCAGGATGCCACAGATATACGCGACATAGCCGCGCCACTGAATCCCGTAGACGCCATAATACGGTCCGTCGTTTTCGGCATTGTACAGGTCTCGGATTAATAGGTAACCCTTGCGCACGAAATAATAATCGATTATCATGGGCCCAGCAATCGAGGACAAAAACACGGAATACGCCGACAGGTAGGTGGTGAAGTTGGAGGCGGATGTGAGGAACTGCCAGGGGCAGATGGCAATACCGATAATGGCACAGATATAGCCTATCCAGGTTTCAAGATCAGAAAATGGTCTCGGAAGTTCACAGATCGAATAGGTCCCCCCCCCCAAAAAAAAACTTACCACCGCGTCGGATGTTGATGAAGCGAGGAAGAAGAGCGGTCAAATCTGTGCCCGCGGAAATACTGTTTGCCGCGATGTTGGTACCAAGCTGGGCGACGACAAAAGCTGCGGCGATGAAGAATGTACCAGCTCGGTCGCCAGGGCCGCCGACGCCGCCAGGCTCGCCGTTCGTGATGAAGTCTCGCAGCAGCTCGAGAGGGTTCCACGTCGCTCCTTTCTCAGGGTAGATCACTGCGGACGCGGACCCAGCAATAATGCCAATGAAGGATGTGAGGCCAAATCCCATCGGGATGGTGATGGCTTGAGGCCACACAGCCGCCGAGGGTGTAGAGGCGAAACGCGTAAAGTCGGGCGCATTGACGATGAGCGTGGCAAAGTTGCTCACGGCACTCATGATACCTGCTATAACACCCCAGGCCAGATCGGATCCGGTCGCCGTCGAACCTTGATGCACAATGGGGCCGACGCCTCCTGCTCGGACAATGGCCCAGACAAATAGCGCGATACCGCCCGCCGGAGCAACAATTGATTTGACGGTGAACAGATGACGGATCTTGTGGACCGGGAACCAAATAAACGGAAGCGAGCCGAGCCAGAAGAGGATGAAAGAGATCAAGTAATTGACGGTGCCTCCCATCGCGATGGATTTCGTCAAACTGGGCCGCTGACCGAACGAGGGCCAGATACTGGCGATCATGAGGTAGACGCATTCACCCCCAATCCAAGCCTGGACTCCATACCAAATGCTGCCGGTGGGGTCAGCAAAAGCAGCTGCAGGGTACGGCGAGCAATGAGAACTCACCAAGCCATAACGGCTCTGTTCAAGACCGGCCAGAGAGAACCCCAAATGCCGAACGAGGCTCGATTGACGATGGGAAAGCCAATGTGATACGTTGCACCGATTCGGCCGGTCAAGACCACGAAAAAGGCGGCGATTGAGTAGCCAACCCAAACACAGATCCATGCCTGCCACCACGAAAGCCCGACTTCGAGCGACGAGGCCGCGATCATCCAGGTGTTGATGTTGAAAGAGTCGGCGATCCAGAAGGTGACATAGTTGATGTGGCGCCATTGTCGTCGCTCAGGCTCGACCGGCTTGAGATCATGGTTCGTGAGGAAGAGTTGCTTGTTCGTCAGGCCCGGTTCGGCCTCGCATTCCTGAGGACCTTGTTACCAATGATGCTGTCAGACCAGAGATACCGAAGTCCTACCAACCGGGAAACCCATCTGCGACGAGGCTTCTCTGCTTCCGGAACGTATCCCCCAGGACTAGCATTGGAAGACATGGTTTCTCGGCCAACACGTTCTCAGTGAAGGGATATGTCATTGAGAGTGGTTCGAAGCTGAGTGTACGAAGAGTACTTATCTCCCATCAACTGACGGCCGTGCTCCATCCATGATGGTCAAACTCTCCACGTCGGGCGTAAAATCGGATCCTTCTCGTCCCAAGACTCTTTTCTTTTTGCTTTTTCGCCAGTTCCCATGACGTGTCCCATTTCTGAGCTCGTAGGCAGGAGATCTTGACAAGGTTCACGGAGGTAAGGATAAGCGATCCATCCAATCGGCACTCTCATGGGTTGGGATTGTCGCCCTTCCCCCAGTCGATAGAAGGTTGATAAAGAGGCTCGATAAGGCCGGCGACAAGGAGCCGATTGGCGGTCGATTTGACTCGATTAAATCATGTCATAATTGGTGGTATTAGGTTGAACTCGGTCCAACTTGGCACTCAGCTGCGGCCTTGGAGTCTATCCGCAGCCAATGAAAAATAAAAAACATGTTATCAATGGGCATCTGGCGATGCTTTGATCAACGAAAGATTGAACGAGGGCTCTGTGCGGAAAGACCAAAGGCTTGGACTGTGTGGGGAATACTGGAGGCCTCACGTGACCCAGGCTCGAGGTCACGTGCAGATCCACGCACGTGACTATCACATGACGTGCCGTAAGTCTCTAAGTGGTGCTTAGACACATGGCGACATGCGTACCTCTGGGTACATGGAGTGCTAACATGACTTCACGTAGGCACGTCGCCTCTACATTTCGTTGACTCAATCTGGAGAAATAGAAAAGATTAGCAGCTAGAAACCACTACCGGCCCAACCCGTCCATTATAGCCTTCAGCCGGCTACCATGGAGAAAATGTCTACCTTTGCAGCGTAAGCGAACGCTCCCGCACAACAGACTGGCTTGCGACTTGTTAATGACGCGGTCTTTCTCCCTGTGGCGCTCCGGCGGTGATCAACTTGGACAGGACGCTTTTCCAGAAAAGCTCCCACGCTCTTTTCATATAGGAGATGGCCGGACACGAAAGTAGCCGTCCCCGTGAGACGAGCTCTATCTGCTGGTCTCTACATCTGATCGACACCGTGCCTTCAACATGGATAGCATTACGATGACGAATCGTGAACATGGCCGTCCAAAGGAATTGAAGAGAACAATGGCTCAGATCACTGAGCAGCCCGACTCGCATCAGACCAAAGATGGCGGTTCAATTTCAGTGAAGCCGAAATGGATCGATCATGCGCCGAGCTATCATGGTTTTCAGGCTCCATCGGGGGCCTCATCGACTCCGCTGCGGACCTTGATAAGCTTGTCACTGAAATCTCGACTAGCAGAGCGGCCAAAGACATCAGTCAAGTCAGCAAATACCTTTCCAGCATTCGCAGACATGCACATGCGCTCATCCTGGCTCTGAACGAGTGTTGGAAGGGAGACTGCCTGCGTGCTGGTCATACCACGCTTATTCTTCTTACAAGTGAAGATCATTGTTAAAGTTTAGCTCTTTCGAAAGATGCGACCTTCCATGTCCTATTTCATTGGAAATGCGAACTCGGCCGAGACCTTCTCGCATAAGTCCACGATGACAACAAATCTGAAGAGCATACCACCACCTTCAGGATCCACGGATGATCGATCGCGAGTACATCGATGTCGTCTTCTGATGGTATAAGACATTGCCCAGAACAACGGATGTTTTGGAGCGCCATCAGTACATGTCTCTATCCACGCGCTCTCTGTCAATGTGGTCAAAATTGGGACGACTAGGAATATCGATCTGCTTTCCTTCTTCGTGTTGTAGTGCCATTGCTGGAATTCAGGCGATCCAGCACTGACTGACATCTCCCACTATCCGATCACAGCCGGAATGTTTAGCAAGGTACGTGAAAGGTAAAAGCGTTTGAAGCGTACGGGGTGACTTGTATGGCGGTAGGCTAGGTATCAATCGTTCATGGCGCGTTTCACTGACACATAAAACTTTTGACATAATCTGTCCCAAACTTTTCACATAATATTAAGGGGTCTTCTTTCCTTCTCGACTCAAGAGCCATCTCATTCCATTCATCGTGTTAGCAGCCATCCTCTCCCGATTATACCCGGTCGCATATATTGTCCACGCAGCATGTCCCAGTTCCGGATAGCTATCGCAACGCGTCGGCACACCATTCTTCCGCAACGCTCTCTCGTATATCAGTCCGTCGTCCCGGAGAACATCCAACCCGCCCACATGCACGTACGTAGGAGGCAATCCAACATGTGGAGTCGGGCTGTTGAACGGCGAGAACAAAGGCGACTTGACGTCCGGAGCCAACGTGCGGATAATGTTTTTGATCGCCTCCTTGTTCAAGGACGGGTTGTTCTTATTCTCCTCCATTGACGTCCAGTCCTTCTTGTATTCGGCTGGCACGATGTCTTTGACGAGGAGCAGCGGGATCGAGACGAACGAACCAGTAAGTGGAGGGTCCAGTGCTCGGTCATGCGCAAGCTGCGTGAGGACCGCAGCCATGGTGCCTCCTGCTGAGACTCCGCCCACGACGAAGCCGAGGGACGGGTTGGCTCCCAATGGAACGGCGTTTTTCGCTAGCCAGACCAGTGTATCCCAGGAATCTTGCATGGGGATGGGAAATTTGTACTCAGGCGCCAGTCGATATGTTGCTGAGACGACGACGGCGCCAAATTCGAGTGCGAAGTCCCGCGCAGGTCGCGTCATGTACTCTACCGAGCCACCAGAGAAACCTCCGCCGTGAAATAAGACGATAAAAGGGCGTCCGGTCGGGATAGCCTCTTTGGGCCGAGTAATTTTGATTTCACCCTGATGGCCATCTGGGAGAGGAACAGAAGAGTAGAATTCCTCAAGCCCGCTATTGAGGGGCCCGAGAGACGAGACAAGTTGCTTCTCCGCCTGTCGGCGTATGAGGCGCATGTGATCGAGATTGGGTTTGTGGAACATGACCTCTTGTCTTGGTTAAGTCAAAGCCACCTTCTTTGGTTGATCGGTGAAGTATGGGAAATGAACAAAGATCCGGAGGAGATTCTGGGATGTGGTTTTTTCTTAAAGTCATCCACAAAGACGAAATACCAGTGAACGAGTGGGTCCATCTCGAGCAATGTTTCCTAATTCGGATATATGTGTCGGCTACGTGACAAATGGCCCTGCAGGTATCCAAGCGGTGGAGCTTGGGATCGAAAGATGCATTGTCCTGACCATAACTCAAAGGGCGCCAAAAGGATGCGCAAGCAATGAGATCGTCCTAGTTGTAGCATACTATCCCAACCGGTCTTCAAATCGCAGATTGGGACATGGTAAGGAGCGTAGTGGCACTCAGAGGGTTTGCTTAGGTCTAGTCGAGGTGATGTGCTGCAACAAGTCCCATATATTGGTGATTGTGGCTGTGCTTTAGTGGCTGGTTTAGACGGTCAGTGGCCTGTGCGTATCGGGCTCAGGCTGGTCGTCTTTCTGGATGCGTGTAAAGGGATGACATGTTGTGATAATGTCAGATGCGAGTAGAGATGACTTGACAGCCTGGTTAAGCATGCCCATATCGCTCCTATTATTCTCCAAAGAACAACAGGTTTCCTGATAGTAGTATTCGACCCCAAATGGCGCGTAATCACCACGGCCTCCTCTCTGAGAAACATTACGACGACGATGCTGCCCTGGTGGCTTCCGATCTTGGTGCGGGATCGGATAGTGATGGAGACAGTGTAGGAACAAACCGAGTCAAGGACCATGACAGGGACATTCTCGACGAGACCGAAGAGCACGAGAAATTGCTCCATAAACCAAGCCGATTCCAGACTGCGAAAGGAGTCTTTGGGTTTCGAGAAGACCAGCAAGATGGAGCCAGCAGCAGCAGACGCCGAAAGACTAGAAGTAAAAAGTTTAGAAGAGGAGGCAAAGAGTCAGACATGACGTTTGAGATGGAAGGCGGTTTCAAAGACACAAGCTCGCAATCTTCGTCTGACTCCTTCGAGACAGAAGGCACCAAGTGGGATTGGAGCTCTGGGAAAAGATCGCACCGTGGACGCCTTGCTCTAATATACGCCGCCATCATTGCTTTGTTTGCCGCTCTGGTCTTCGGCGCATACAAGGCTTCTCGAAAATCAGCCCTGACCCCAACCATTCACCGGCTCACTCGATTCTCCAATGGCACACATGTATTCCGACCGACCACCATCCTGATCTCCCTGGATGGATTTCGTGCCGATTTTCTCAACAGGAACATCACTCCTGCTCTGAATGCTTTCATTGCAAGTGGTGTATCTCCGAAGTACATGCTCCCATCTTTTCCTTCCCTCACTTTCCCCAACCATTTCACTCTGGTTACTGGTCTCTATCCGGAAAGCCATGGTATTGTCAGTAATCAGTTTTGGGACCCCGAGTTCCAAGAGGAGTTCTACTACACGAATGTCGGTGTGTCAATGCAACCCAAATGGTGGACTGCGGAGCCCCTTTGGGTGACAGCAGAGCATCAAGGAGTTCGATCGGCCATTCACATGTGGCCAGGCTCTGAGGCACACATCCCTGACGTGGAGCCGACATATCTGGATACATATAATGGATCAGAAGCGTTGTCACGCAAGGTGGACCGACTGCTGCATTGGCTTGATCTGCCTGGTGATGACGACGATGCGTCTTCCCAGAGCGAGAAACGACCACAATTCATTGCCGCTTATGTTCCAAATGTCGACGCGGACGGACATAAATTTGGACCAAACAGCACCGAGATCCGAGCCACAATTGCTGATGTTGACAGCATGTTGACGATGCTGGTGGAGGGACTATTTGCGAGGAATCTCACCGAGATTGTCAATCTTGTCATTGTGTCTGATCATGGAATGGCGACTACGTCGACTAGGCGACTGATCCAACTCGAAGATCTGATGGACATCTCTCTGATCGATCACATTGATGGCTGGCCCCTTCGAGGTCTTCGATTGCAGAACCCCGATCGCGACATTCCCATTCTCTATGAACATTTATCTCAGGAGGCGGCCAAGGCCGACACTTTTGACGTTTACACACTGGAGACAATGCCGGACCGATATCACTTTTCCAACAATGATCGAATTGCTCCGCTATGGATCGTTCCCAGAACAGGTTGGGCGGTTGTTGAAAGGACCGATTTCGACGTCGCCGAAGCCCTGACGACCGGCAGAGAATACGAGCCGAAAGGTTTGCATGGTTACGATCATGAGCATCCCTTGATGCGTGCCATATTTGTCGCTCGCGGCCCGGCCTTTCCGCATAAGCAGAATAGCAGAGTTTCGGTGTTCCAAAATGTTGAGGTATACAACATCATCTGCGATTCCTTGGGCATCGCACCTCATCCGAACAATGGAACATTACGACTTCCGTTCAAGACAGAAGGGCTGCACTCTGATGCTGGCGCGCCGGAGCTTGATACTCCTCCAGACCCCGTCGATGAGAAGCACGACGATGAGCCTCAAGATGCGAGTTTGGGTAACCCTGATGAGGTAGCAAATCCCGAGCCAGGTGATGTATCGTCTGGCGAGGGTGACAACGCCTCAGACAAGCCGAAGAGTAACTGGTGGAAATTCTTACACGACCAACTCGAAAAAGCGAAAGAATGGGCCAAGGAGTTTGTTGAATCCATCAAAGGCAACAAGAAGGGAGAAGGCGATCCTCCTGTCTAAAGCTATTCGACAGGACCTTCTCTCACACTCTAATTCGAAGAATCTACAATGGAAATCGACAATGCGTCCTGTTGAACTTCTACTCCCAAGCTTTTAGCGGGACGGATCTATCACGATATTGGATATTTACTGTAAGACTCGTTCGAAATACCTCCGGCGATGGCTTCGGTCTTCTAAGGATTCTTTCCAGACGTGTTGAGGTAGAGTGCAGAGTCGCATCCCTCGGCGTCCTGGATGAATACGACATTCGCTCGGAGGCGACAAGCAGCTATCCAGAGTTCCCAAAGGCATAAACTCAATGGTCTCGTGCGCCGAACATCAGTATGTGGGGCAAGGCTGGATTCAGAAGGCGAAATAATACCAATGTCGCAACCGCACTATCTATTTTGGCAGCCTGTGATTGTCCAGGTCCAAGCTCCATAGAAGAATTTCAATGGTCGAAGATGCCAACACCTTTCTCTGAATTATTGCGAGGACATTCTCATGGCCCCTAAGCTATCAAGACATCATGGGAGCACAAGGACGAAGAGCGCGAATGGTTTTCAAATCCACATCTGTAATGTGCAACAGATAATAAACTTATCTATATCTGACTCGTTTGACTGAAAATGGCCTTCGTTGCTTTTGTCCTAACTTCCTGCGAAACTATCCCCATGCTCTCTCAACTTGGACTTTCACTCTTTTCGACGAACTTTCGCCTCACGCTCGAGCCTCAACTTCTTCTTGCGCTCGTATACAGCGCGAACCGTGCGCTTCGTGGCGTCGGCGCCGTCGTCAAAGTTCGTCTTGGCCAATGCCACAACCCGGTCGATCTGCTCCGGCGTGTAGATGAAATTCCACGTTGAGAGGTAATCGGTCTTATCAGGGTCGACGCCCTCAACTTTAGGATTCGGAAGTAAAGGGAAGTACACGACCGTGATACCGGCGTCAGGTTGCATCAGGTGGAATGTCGAATCATCCGGATTGTCCCAGGCCAGACGCTTGGAGGGAGGAGGTTCGTCGTCGCTGGATCGTTCAGCTTTGGTTCCGACCCAGACATTGCAGGTGCCCAGGGTACTTTCTGCGTCAGGACTCTTGCCCGTGGTAGGACTCCCGGGGACGTCTTCGCCGATGGAGTCGTTGGTTGCTTTATCCTCGTGATCTTTTCCCCTCGCTTCGGCCAGTTTGGTGGTTGCTTCTTGAGGAGAAGTTGCCTGTGCCTCATCCACAGCTTTGACATTTTCCTGTGGTTTCGATGAGACCTTGGGCCATCCGGCACCGAGAGGCCAGCCTTTGATACCGCGTTGCTTGGCATATCCATCAACCACAGAAAGCCAGTTCTCTCTCTGGATATCCGCAGATGCGTCGAAAGCGATTAGGACGTCAACGTCTCGGCCTGGTCGTAAAAGTGGGTAAATCGGAAGATTGTTACTCATTCCAGCATCCATCAATTGAAGGTGATCGTTCTTGAAGACTGAGTCAGGACATGTCGGTGGTAATTGATCCTTCATCCCGTAGACAAAGTTGGGAATCGTAGCGGGATCGATCGGGTGAATCTTGATGAGATCTTCATTCTTTTCTGTTAGAAGTCCGTCCAATCCTTCGAACCCCACCAGTCCGACCAGGGCAGGTTTGATTTCTTTGTAGTAATGAGATAGAGTGGCGCAAAAAGCAGAGCCCCAGATCCCCAGAAGCAGACTTTGTCGAATCTCTGGCAGAGCAACGCCCGTGTCGGACAATTGGTTTCGGCCTTTATTAAATGGCCTTCCAAGACTCCAGGTTGGTATCCCAGCACCAAATTCTTCACACCAGACTTCCCAAGGATGCATTTCTATCCATTGAAACCATGCTTCTTTTCGCGCTTTGTCTTTAATCTTCTGCTTGAGAGCCAGACTATCCTTCGCTTCCTCTCCTTCTCCTCCTCCTTCTTTTTCGTCAACCGGGATCTCATGTCGAACAGCTGTATAGATAGGCATAGGATATTCACCATTCTCGATGTACGTGCGTTGATTGGACAATTTCAGATCCTGATCATGGACATCGAGATCACCATGAGGGATTAATAACCGAGCAGCAAGCAAAAGGCTGTAGACGTCCACCAAACCGAATGAAGCATTCGGGTCTCCTTTCAATTTTTCAATGAAGCCGCTGAGAATAAACTTGTTGGTGGGGGCACTTGTGACCAATTTCAACGCAGGCGGAGGAAATGCGATGTGAGTGCCAATCCGTGCCTTCAAGTGCTTGAGGAGTATTTTGTGATCCTGCTTTCCAAGGGAAGAGTAGAAGAGTGTTTGCAGCCAGCAGCTTCCACTCACTCCAGCCGTATATGTGACACAGTCGAAGAGACCGGCTTCTTGAGCAGACAGGTAGCTACTTGCGCCGGCAACCATTGCCCGCAACCCACCTCCGCTCCCACAAATGGCAATGGTGGGGACATCGTCCGGGTGAATGTCTTTTTCACTGATGTCTAGGTACCTAGCCAAAGCTTGGACAACGCGTTTCCTTCTCCTGCGGCGGAACTCCAGCTCGTCTTTGCCCAAGGTATTTCCCACACGAACTGTGGCATTCCATAAGATTTCTGGGTTTATAGAAGGATCGTGTGCCTCTTGCCATATCTCATCTGCCAATGACCCGGGCTGCATAGACAGCTCCGATTGTAGTTTTTGAATTCCGTCTGGTAGGAATTTTGCCCAAGCCGGAAGTACGATATCCGAGATCTTGTCCCCAAACCCACTCCATTCTATTCTTGCAATACCTTCCCTGACATTGTTAAAGTTTCTGGAGAAAGACGCCCAGTAATTCTCGTCGTCATCTTCAAAGACCGGAGCGTAATGATCAGGGTCATCAGCTTTGTTGGTAAGCTCTGAATCGCCTCGTTTGGTGGCAGTCTTGGGGTCCCCTGCGTCGGCAAAGTGACGTTTCACACGTCGTCCGTAGGAAATAAGAGGGCCATCGTGAGGGAGGGCTGGGCCTGACGGGCTGTCGAGCTTGATCAAAGGAGCTCTTCGACTAGAGCTATGAACCCCCGCGCAGGACGCAGCCACCAAGACAGTGTAGCGAAGGCCGGAGGAATTGAGGAGTCGGGCAGCGCTCATAGCGACTGGAGCGCTGCAGAGACAAGCCGTCAACAAACATCAAATTCCATGCTACCATACTCATGGAGCCGGAGCGAATGGGGACTTTCGAGGTTGTGCACCTTGCTTTACCCTTTTGGTGGGATGCCACCGTAAATCTGAGAATGACGTATTCGAATAAGATATAGAAACTAGTCCTGAAACAGCAGAACACGCAACTTTCGGCCAACCTCGTCAAATTCTATACTCGACCAGCCGTGATCAATAGCTCAATCGACATACTTAGCATGGATTGCAACCATATGAATCCACCAGATCAAATGTGAACGGCGTGAATCGAAAAGTGACACCCCTCTCCCTTTTTCGGCCGCTGTCAGCACTCTCGGTTCGGTGTCGGAGAAGCTCCCCTCGTCAAGCATTTAATCCAACATGGTGGGCCCTAGAAATGCAGCCTTTGCAGAGGAAAGCGCCGAGGTGGAAGTTTTATTGGCATCCTTGGGGAAAACCAAGGACCTCACCAAGCGAATAGCCGCCAGCCTGTCGCGGTTAGATATCAGTGGAAAAATCGTCAAAGAAGCCATCGGACCGATCTATAGCAATACACAGCAGTTGCAAATTACAAGCCGAAACATTGAGAAGGTCAATGAGGCTATTGAGAAACTTCGACAGCCACTTGATGCTCGAGGGCGAGAGGAAAGTATAATTCGAGCAGGTCCGAAGAATGCTGGATTGCCACAATATCTCGGCGCTCTCAAACGGGTCGACAAGGCTCTGAATGATTTGAATTCGTCCAATCTGAGATCTAATCAACAAGCGATATCTGAATTCCATGGCCTCCTCTCCATCGGGGTCAACCAACTCAACGATACGTATCGACAAATGCTTCAAGAAGATGCCCAAACCGTCGAACCATTACATTATATCACCAAGCAGATCCCCTTTCCCACGATTCCGCAAGAAAAGATCCAATTTCTCGGCCAAATGGCCACGGCCATTGCCTCTGCGGGAGCACAATCCGCTCGACTGGGTCAGCGAGACGATGATGCTGCTGCCCGCATCTACGCCGAAGTCAGAGGAGACTATCTTCACCACAGCCTCCAAAACCTGTCTACCGCATCCATCAGCACCTCGAAACGCCGAGCTGACGACGCAGGCGTTTATCGCGAAGGCACAAGCGGAGTAGGAGCCTACGCAAATGGAATAGAAAGTATGTTCCTGGCCGAAGCAGAGAACACATCCAGAATATTCCGTAACGATGCCGGACGCGTCTTTACAATGACCTGTGGAAAAGCGCTATCAACGTTTTCGCGCACACTGGCAGAATTGAACGGCGTGATCAAATCTCGCATTCTCAGCGATTGCTTCCTTGCGTACGAAATCCTTGACCTGGTCACCCCTCTCAGCTATCGGCTCGAATCACGAACCGGTCAACTTCGACCACAATTCGCCGACGCACTTCGACCTTTGCGAGACACTGCGCGTTCTTCTCTGAGCGAAATCCTCAGCCAGACGAAAAGACAGGCAGAATCCACGTCCGCCCTGCCGCCAGACGGAAATACGATCCCGCTAGTCTCTCAAACCGCCACACGCCTCCAAACCCTCGCCCGATTCGACCGTCCGCTCCTCACCCTCCTCTCCTCCCTCGGCGACGGCAACTGGAAAGCCGCGCCCGGCATGGGCTCCCAATCAAGCCTGAGTCTCGAATTGACACCTTCGGTGGAAAACCCTAACTTACTCTCCCACTACCTCCTCGACATCGTCGACACGCTGCTCACCACGCTAAATGCGCGCTCCCAGACCCTCCACCCCAAGAAACCCGTCCAAGGCATCTTCCAACTCAACAGTGTCGCCGTCCTGAACCGCGCCATCCAATCCTCCCCCGACCTCATGCGCTACCTGGGAATCAACCCGCACACCACCAAACTCGACTCGTTCCACAAGGCCGGCTCCTCTCTGTACCTCTCCGCATGGCGTGATCCATCCACACACCTTCTCGACACGATCCACACGTCAGGCGCCCCGCGTCCGCTCTCCGGCCAAGCAATCGACAGCACGACCATTATCAAATCACTATCCTCGAAAGACAAAGATAAGATTAAGGAAAAATTCAAGCTGTTCAACACCAGTTTTGACGAGTTGGTGGTACGACATAAATCAATGCATATGGAGAATGAGGTGCGTAGCTCTGTTAGCAGAGAGATTCAGGCGATGATTGAGCCGTTGTATGCGAGGTTTTGGGATCGGTATCATGAGGTTGATAAAGGGAAGGGCAAGGTGGTTAAGTACTCAAAGGGCGAGTTTTCGGCGATGTTGGCTAGTTTGTAGGCTCCTACCTTTGAATTGGAGCCATAAAAGCAAATACCATGCTTGGGCTTGGTTTGGGTTGATTGTTTTTTTTTTTTTTTTTTTTTTTGAAAGATTCAGGCTGGTCGAGGTGACATTGCGTGGCGGTATAGGTTAGGTTTTGGATGCCAGGAGTGATGGCCGAGTCCACTCTATATGATATCGCGTTGGACGTGGGTAGGAAAAGAATACAAATTTACTCCGGTACGATGAATTTGATCCGCTCCCTTGTATCTCGAATCGCTCAACCATTTGGCCTCGCGCTACCCTTAGATGATCATAATACATACACACATTCCACCGCCGAACCGAACACCAACGCTTTTGACAAATGCTGTTCGCCGCCCTGTGCCATAACGATCCACGATTCCCTACCCAGTGATTTGCCTTTCAAGTTCCTTGCTTTCGTAACCCAACCCAGTCCGATTTGATGCCTGATCACATATAGCGCGCTCTAGTCCGCTCAAATCAAACGCAAGGTGATTGGCCAAGCGCATACGATTGGAGCTGAAATATTGTGGATACATCTTCATGTTCAATCACCACGAAACAAGTCCACGATGTTCTTCTCTTTTCGCTCCCGGTCCGGGTTCAATATGAATCGGACAGTGCCTTCACGGCCGCGTTCGCCGACGCGCTGCCTCCCCGTCGCAACGCCGCCAATGAGACTGGTCGCTGCCGTCGTACCGCTGGCGACGCCCGAACTGCTGTTTGTGCTGGGGCTCGTGACGTCCTTGGGACTCACGTTCTTGCTAGAGCCACGGGAATGAGAGTGCGAGCCATTGGCAGCTGCGCCGTTGACGCCGTTGCCGAAGGGCCCCATGCCGTCGTTGTCCTTGGACGTCGCGTTCCAGGCCGTGTAGCGGGGGATGTCTTTCTCTTCGGATTCGAGATTGAGTGGGATGCGGACTTCGAGGAAGCGGTCAACGGGGAAGTTAGGCCCAATGGCCGTCGAGGTGCGGTGGTGCGTGTATAGTTCGAGGAGGTCAAGGAGTGTTTCTATACAGGACAAGTCAGTAAGAAGAACACAAGAGAGACAATATCCATTTGGGTGGGGGGGAGGAAGGGGGACTCTGTGTGTGTGTGTGTGTGTGTGGAGAATGCGAGGAGATTTGGAAACATTACCCATCACCATTCTCCGATCGATTTTCCATTTGGCGTAGTCCTTCCCTTGCCAGATATCTTCATGTTCTTGGTCTAATAGCCGTCCTGCGAGTTCAAGACACGAGAAAGCCAAGGTGGCGGTTTGTTGCTTGAGTGGCGCGAAAGTGCGGTAGAGGTCTAAAGTCATGATGTACGCGGTCTTTACGACCGGCGCGGTCTTCTCGAAACCGTAGAATTTGGCCAGCTTGATCATCAGTTCTTGTGGGTGGCGATTACGGAAGTCAAAACCGGATGCCTCGAGCATTAGTCGCTCCAGACCGATGACTGTGCGTGATTGGTGCTCGAAGATCTACCCAGGGGATCAAGTCGTAAGAAGCGGGACGGCCATAGGGTTTCAGGGGATTCTTACGGGGTTATCTGCCGACAGTTGATCCTGGCGTGGAACCTTCAGATTGTGGGCTGCACAGAGAATATCTCGAGATTTCTTCAGCGTATCTTCGATTTTGCAGGCGGTAAATAAAGCGGCGGCGGCGGCATCCTATACAGATCATTAATTAGAATGAGTATTTTCGGTCAGAATGGGTGTCCAACATGCCACAAAACTATACTCTCCATCGGAATGTTGTAATCGAAATTTGTGGTAGTAAACAACCGCGGTGTTGAATGTCTTGACTGGTCTTGGAGAAATATTGTTAGTAACGGACGTTCAGACTTTCCAGACGGCGGTTCTGAACATCTGGACTCGTATCAGGGACTTTTGGTGAAAAGAACTCACAATTTCAATGCCCGTCGGACATTGTCAATCCATTGCACGCCAGCCAGCCTAATGCTGTCTTCCCTCTGTTGGCTGACTCCGGTCTCCCGTAGACATCTCTGAATCTCTTGCTCGAAGACATAACTTTTAGCGACCTGGACGTTGTTAGGCAGAGGACCGTTACGTCTTGCCGTCGTCTCACCACCTCCGGTCCCGTTCATCATGCCTTGATGAATGTGAGATTCTATGCCGCCACATTCGCATGGAGTTGTCGAGGCCCGAAAAGCTGGCAAGTAGTAAGGACCGACGAATCTGAATTGAACTGGAGGGTGGTTCGAGGATCCTCATCGGCCAAATTTGACGACCTGAGAACGAGGCTCCGGAGTCGGAAAAACTTTTCTACCGGAAACTTTGAAATCACATGTTCTGGAGGAGTTCATCTGTGATTTTACGGAGGACTTGTCCTATTTCGAAGGGTCCAGGGGACCGTCAGACTATATACTTTCGAAGCGTGTACGAAGCGTACAACGCTTCCGAAGGTCTTTACAAGCCTTGGCGTCGCCACATATCACACATCACTTGAAGCAAAACAGTTCAAGATTGTGCCAAGGCCTGAAGCGTGCTTTTGTCAGTGAGGAATTGGCAAATGGAGCATCTCTCTCTGCCGGCGCCTACGTAGTGTGTTTTCTATGAAAGGTCTAAACGAGAAGAATTGACTGAATTGATCCAGATGTTTGAATGATATCCACCATTTTCAGGGATATTAGTCTCATGTGTTATGCCAATAGCAGATTTCAACCCTCTATGATTACTCTCTGGGCCGCAGAGTGTGACCGTCGTTTCCGTGTGAAACTCCCAGACAAGGTGATGCATAACTCTCGCAACGGTTGGAAAGCCCTCACTGCTCCTGATGAGCGCTCGTACTCTGGGCCTTTTAGCCAGAACCACGTCAGATGTGTTGCTATCCATATCGATACACCATGAGTCGCTTTGGACGAGGTGGGATAGGGAGGTTATGAAACTCCGTTGGCAGACACGGCCTCAGACTTGGAATCCAGCTTCTTGACTTCCCGTCCCACTTCGTCCTCTCCCTCGTCGTCTTCTCGTGCGCGTTTCTTTCCCGCAACGGCTTCAGCGTCACCTTGGACACTCTCCGCAACTGCGTCCGCGGCCTTGTTCGATACATCAGCATCGCCATCTTGCTCTGTGGACTCAACATTGTCTGCCGCTGTCTGTTTTGCTGCTTCCTCTTTCTCGTTTTCTGCTGCTACAGCTGCTTTTGCTTTGGCAAGTGCTTCGTCGCGACCAGAGTCCTGCTTCACTTTAGATGTGTCTCCTACGGACTTGACGGCAGGAATTCCTCTGTCCATATGTTAGCTCGTTCGCGATAGACTCATGGACGCCAGAACCTACCTCTCATCCTTGTGAGGTCCATTGAACCTGCCACCCTTCCCACCCTTAAAGTCACGATCACGAGTGCCACGTCTCCTGTCATCTCGGAAACCGTTCTTTCGATCTTCATCTCGACGGGTTCTCCAATCTCGATCATCCTCCTCCTCATCACGTTTCCGCTTTCCATCTCGGCCTCCCCGGTTGTCTCTCTTGCTCTTGTCATGTCTGATATTTGATCGGATCTTGCCAGCCTTGATATCTTCCACCTTCTTGTCGCAGTACTCTTTCTTACTCATGATCTGCAGGTCTCGGCCTTGGTATTTGGGTTTGGGGTCCAATTCCAGGAATGCCTTGGCCAATTCCTCCGTCTCGAATTCTACGAAGACACTGCCTTTGAATACTTTCTCTTCCGTGCGCCTCAAACGCACGGCGTTGGTGGGGCCGTAAGGGGAGAAGAATGCCTCAATGTCGAACTGTGTACTAGGAACCTCGTCACCGAACCCTTTGACGTAAACACTTCGTGGCATCGCACGGTCCTCGAAGACTCTGACTGCATTCGGATCTGGACCATCGTTCAAACTTTCGGGGAGGGGTTCTTTTCGGCGAACGCAGGTATCGTTCTCCGTAAGGTCGAGGAATTTGGATTCTCGCATGGCCTCTACAATGGCTTCAAAGGGCTGGAAATGTCGCATGCGTTTGAAAGTATGCAAAATCTTGAGTTCGACGGGGTTATTCTTGCTCCCGCCCACTTTGGAGAGCAGGAATTTGTCGTTGGGAAGATTAGAGTCGGAGAAGTAGAATTCCACCTGCGCAACTTAAGTAAGCTATTGGACTGGATGAGCAATTGGGAGGGGTTTGTTACCTGTTTGCGAATGGCAGCGGGGTCACTGCTTACTTCTTGGGTGGTAAGGTCCGACTTGATGTTATCTCGGTAATTGCGAGAACCACAGCCATTTTGACCGCCACGACCTCGACCTCGACCACTGTATTCAGATCGGCCCTGATGTCGAGATTCTCGAGACTTGTCTGTTGTATCCTTGCTCTCTTCACTCTCTTTCTCTACGGCAGCATCATCTTTAGGCTTCTCAGACTCTATCGTGCCGTTGGATTCTTTCTGCCCCTCTTTCGATTGCGCCTCGTCTTGGAGCTCAGCTAGCATCTTTTTTGCATCCTCGGCTGCCTGAGCATTTTGATCCGTCGGGGTTCGAAGTGCATCTGTCGCCGCAGCCTCCTCTGCAGACATTTTGACGGCGATAGTATGTGAAGAGCTATGTTGGTAAAAGGACTATCTGATTTGAAGCGCACACTCAAGCAGGTGGCTGGACAATGCGGGGACGGTGCTTTTGAAACAGAAAGTGAAGATATGACTTGTCGCTTGATTAATGAGTCAATGTGACAGTTCTTCTGAGATAAAAGTAGTGGCTATGCTCTCTCCCAAGGATCTCTGGAGCCTTAGCTTGTAGTGCAGATACAAAAACGAATGAAATCTATTGCAGGATGCATCGGAAAAAAATTTCTGGGCTCAGCGAATTCACAGGCGGGGCGCAAAATCTTGGCTGCGCTTGGGCGACGAGGTCTCTCACTCCTAGTCGTATATAGTTGAATAATGATGGTTCTCTTTCCCTACACAGATCCGACAGGAATCTCAGTGTCCATCACGTGCACATCAACACAGCTTTTCCCAGCTCGCCTGCTCAAAGGTCGCGTCAACGATCATAGCCCAAACCAACCGTGAAACAACAGTTACTGTTCGATTTGTCTTCCTCCCAATATAGGTTCACACTGTACAGCGATCAACGTATACAGTTTGAGTCATGTCACACATGTGCGCCAATGCCTCGTATTGGAGACAATGAGGAAAAGATCCACTGGCTTCACCATGTTTTCGCGCTCGCTTGCTCAGGTGTTGAGCTTCTCGTGGGGAAAATGGCAACGGCACGAGGGTGATAGTGTCTCATATCATCTCTCAATTCAATGCAAATAGCCTGAATACTCTTACGAGATTTGGCCTGTCACCACGCTCACGGTGATGCGTGCTTGCATACCCTGAACGGTAGCATGCTATTCACCTCAGTAATTGCCTCAGTATTTGCATATACAATCCTCCACAGTCTTCTTTTCGACTTTGTGATCGAACACGATTGATACAAAATGCAGTGATGGTCTCCACTAGATGATGCGGACCCGAGTTTAATAGTAAAAAGCTGTTGAAAGCAGTTTGAAGCTGAAAAGGAATGAATTATTTCAACAGAATTGGTCTTGGTTGGCAGCCTCGTGCTCTTTCGGCGACCGAATGAATCAGCATATCGGTGGATTTTCGTGGCGTTATCGTGGCGTTTTCACCTCAACGCCCCATGGCCCTTATGCTGACCATCGGCCGCTCGGACCGAACAGAGACTCCTATTGGTAACTAGGCAGAAGCCGAAGGTGTGCTATGCCCCTGTCAGGTTGGGAAATGTCCCTAGATGTCCGGGCGCGAACCGTCGCTGATCTCGCCAGCACAGAGGAGCGTTTTAAAACGAAAAGAGCCGTTCATTCTGCTGTTCGTCGATCGATCTCTTCCAGATGCAATCAACCTTGTTCCCTGTTCGATATCGATTCGATTCAAATTTGCCAACACACCACATTACACTACCCCAGAACATGCATTGCATCAATTCGCTTCACGATCGAAACACCCTTGAATCGACAGCATGTTGTGAGGTCGTGTACACAACGCCGAAAAACAATGACATCAATCAGGGCGTTCTTGTCTGGTGGTGTTCACATCGCCGAAAAATAACAGCACTCGGAATGTGCCCCCCGGAGCCCGTTGAACGTGGGATTCCAACTAAATGCACACGATAAAAGTGTAGCCTTGTGCTGTAGTTAGTGGGATTTAGGTTTACAAAGCAAAATGCATCTAGGGACGATCACACGGAAAAGGGATCGAATTCAACAACAATAGGTAGCCTTGGGAAGCCACATGCAGGGTTCCTCCCTGCACACATGAGCAAGTGCCTTTTTTGAATTTTGATGCGCTCTGATAATGGACAGGAATGAGCCTTACCTCCAATGGACACTTCGTTGGTATGGTGGGCAAACATGTCTTTCTTACAGGCGTCTCCCGAAGCCTGGAGGAAGAGGTGGCATTTGCTTATGCCAAGGCTGGGACCTCAATCATAGGCATCTCTGCACGGTGAGAAGAAATCGGAGACGCGGCAGCCTCGGGTGGTAGCTGTGAAAATGGATGTTATGAATCTATGTGCAGGTTGCCGTCAACAAGAACACGCCAGAGTCCCGAGGCCAAACTCGACATCCTCATCAATGATGCCGGCTCACATGGAGACGTGGATTCCTATTGAAGATGCCAATGTCGACGACTGGTGGAGGTTCAGATCAATTTTTTTTTTCTCCAGCTTCGAAGACCATGGTCAACTTTGTCCAGCACCAGAGCCCCAATGATCACACCTGGCGCCAAGTGCGTACCAGACGGCCAAGTTCGCCTCCTTCTCTGGCCGACCGAATTCCTCACACGTTGAGTATGGGAAAGAGTCTGATTGCTTACTGCATACATCCGGGCGCCGTGCCCCACAGAGCTTGCATGGAAGATGCCCCGAATTTGTCAAAGCCCACCTCATCGAACACCTCCAGGTTCGGATGCTGACGCGGTGCTGTTATTTGACCAAGAAAAGACGAGAGTGGCTGCGACGACGGTACACAAGATCTCGAAATTGGCCAACCCCCTGCCGACGCCATGGCAACTTTCTTCTCATCAAAGGATAGTAGTGTGACGCTTTCCCCGATACAGACTAGCCAATGAGGATCTACCACGAACCACTGTCGGATCTTATTTTTATCATGGTATCGTTAATTTCTGTACGATCCTTTGTAAAGACTCCAATATTGGGCCAGATTGGATGGACGAGCAGTTTCAGTTCCTTTCTGTACGGCATAGGATTGAGATATAAGAGCGGCCATTAAATTCTGCCACTGGCACAACGGATAACTTTTGAAGTCCCAACGCGTATATTCCATACGGAGGTGCCAGCTTTGACCGAGTGTGTCGTCTCGTCGCCCTTTGACAACCAACCTCCAGGATGCCATCTGACTTTAGAATCCTTGCCGGCACCGTCGAGCGTTTACCTGCGCCAGATCTCCTTTGAGATGGCAAGATATTAACCAACACTCTCATCGCTTGTGAGCACAATACAGAGCAGGACCAGGAACTCAATAGGAGGACCGGGTACGGAATTCTCGCAAGCGGCCATGCGTCAGGATCAGCACATCAGCGTCATGAAGAGTCTTCCTCCGGATTTGCTCGGTCAAATGCATCACCACTCATTGCTATCGGTGCCGAGATTGACAGATTGACGGACGAGTTCGCCAGCCTCGGCGTGCGTACACCGAAAGCAGAGTCTGGATAACCTGAAATCTTCAGTGGGTACCGAACTATCGCCATGGTGGCAGATGATGTCCTTCAGCAATACGAGGATCGGTGAAACACAGGGAAACTCGGTTACGTGAGGATATGAATCCCTTGTCCACTCCAGCGAAATCTGTGGCATATGAACCCATCACTTTTTCTCTGAGTCTATGATCTTCAAGCCCAAACGATGTTGCTTGTGAAAAGATGCATCATGCCAGCGGCGAGCTGACATTGTGTCTTGGGAAGGCATCAGTCAGAGGCGAGATGAGAGTCAAACATCGAAGAGCTCTTTCAGTTGCTTGATGGTATCCCCTGGGTCCATGACCGAGTGGCCGATGGTTCGACGATCATCATAGATCTCCCAGTCATTGCCACCCTTGAATGTGGCGTCCCCAAAGAAGTGGATGTTCTTGTAATGGATTCCCGAGAGCCCTTTGCTGGTGTCGGCTTCCGCCTCGATGTGTTGTAAGCAATAGGTCTTGTCCCATCCGGAAGGGAAAACGTCGAAAGATATCTGACCGCCAATGGAGTAACTATGATCTGGATGAGCATATCGACGACATCGGCCTTCAGTATCGACCTTACGTGAGTCCGAAACTAGGGAATTCCTTCTCAATGGCCTCAATCATCTTGCGTCTACAACCTGTCTTTCTGTCCCAAGCCTGAAACTCGTCTCGTTCGGCCTTGCTGGCATTACGACCGACGGGGCTGACATTGATCATCCCATTTCTGAATTCAATAAAGGTTCCACGCATAGCTGGGAGACCATCGAGTTCTGAAATATATCTCAAACAGAACTTGGCAAGCTTCTGGTATTTCTCTTCTCCGATCCATTGGTGGAAGGAGTTCGAGGGCAGTTGTTTGCCGAGGCGGTAAGCAGTGAGACCGTTCTCGGCGAAGCAAAAGTCGAAGAGGGTGGTGACAGGAAGAGACGGGGTTCCGAGTTGTTCTTCTTGTTTGGCAAGATTGGAGCCACTAACCTCGGAGACAGTCAGTCTGGAGAGCTGCATGGGAATCGATTGGCAACGTCCTTACGTAGCCAATGGCACATTTATGTCTCAGTTTGGATAGCGTTTGGAGCATCTCCACTGAGGCAGACTGTCGAGCCGGGGTGAGGGTGTTGTCGACATCAAAGAGACAGATGGTTTCTTTGACAGGGCGATCCTGGAGGTCGGGGTAGAACTCGGCCATTTTAGAGGAATGCAGGGGTTGACCAGAGAAATGAAGTCGAACAATCCAACTCAGGGGAGTAGTGACAAAGTCCTTTTATGTTAGGAGGAAACGGAGAAGAGGACAGCTCACCGTATTTCTGGAAGAAGCCACCGTGAGGTTGACCACCCCCCGATCACGTGCAGTGCTTGAAACGGGAAGCTTTCCTCTTTGGGAAGAATCTGCCCTCAAGCTCAGAAATCGAATTACATCTTCGGCAGCCTCATCGGATCCAGTCCACGGCCCATCCAGAGATGGGCAGACGATGTCGTAGCGAACAGGGCTTTCGAGACGTAAAATGTTCCGTTCCTCCCCGTAGCAGCACTAAGACACGGACCCTTGAATCACTCAATGGAAACGACGTTGGCAAGTATGGTGGGAGAAGTGCCATCACACGACTATGTGCCGGATCTGTTTGACAACCCTGGGGTATACACCGGGGGAGTGATGTACAACTTATTTTGACCGTATTCACCGCGGGCCTTTATGGAAGGAGTATGTTGTAATGACGATACCGTGGCGAAATCTACTCATCAGTGATTCGTTTGCGGACGGTTGCACCGTTCGTCCTGAGACAAATATGGTCCTTGAGGGTGGGGCGGTTTTGGGAAAGATGAGAATGGTGGTTGACAGGACCCACCGTCTTTGAATATCTGATACTAATTAATCCGCTCATCTTGGCCTTTGGCTTTTCGGCATTGGATAGATGGCGGCGCACACGTAGCAGGTTGATTGGTTGCCAATCACCGATAATGCAGTGTCTACCGACAAGTTAGAACCGTAATTATCGTATTCTTTTGGACTTAGACTAAGTGGTTGGAAGTGGGCATTGGTTCGGGGAGTTCAGAAGCCAGCGCCATCTAAACACAGGCTGGAAGATGGTTTCCGGGCCCCCTGATGGATCAAACATTTCACCCAGGTCAAACTGTGGAGGTTCAACCATCACTGTATGTTCGGCTAACTCTCGACACCATGTGCAGGCCATAGCCATGCCATTCATGCCTCCATGCCTTCATGCTCTTACTCGGGTCCAGGTTCCACCAGGCTCGGGTCTTCTCATTGAAAATGTTGTAATTCGCGCTGCTGCGGGCTGGTTTCTCGTGCCGTCGGTTGTTTCCATGAATTGTCGTTTATACCTTTCCTATTAATAGGGTCCACGTCCCTTGAGCATGTCTCACAAGGAAGTATTGCTTTCAGGTCTGCTAGAAAAGATCTCCAAAAGCAAAGAAAAGAAAAGCTTCTAGAAAGCCATTCATTTTCTTTTGTCTGGCCATGTCGTCCGACACTCCCGACAAGGCTGTCCCCACCGACTCTTCTTCTCCATTACCCGACCCAAAGAAGCTGCGACTGTCCTGTGATAACTGCCATGCCGCCAAAGTCAAGTGTACCAAGGAACGTCCCTTCTGCTCCAGATGTGGTAACTCCGGTGTTCCTTGTGTCTATTCCAAGTCACGCAGAGCCGGAAAACCCAAAGGGTGTGGTAAGAATCGTGGTCAGTTCAGCACGTTACCCACGCCGCCAGAATTCAACAGCCGACCAGATTCTCCCCTGGAAGATGGTCGACTGAATATGGACCACGACGAAGGCTCCTGGAGCGTCGACATCCCGGGAACTCGTCGCTCCTCGTTTCTCGATCAAGGCTTCGGCCACCTTCACTCCGCCGCCGAGTCCACACACTCACTGGACCCGACTTTGACCCTGAACAGCACCTTCACTCATGCTGGATCCATGGACTCAGAAGAATCCGCATTCAACACGACTATGTTCGCCTCCGAGTTCAAGACGTCACCAGACTGGGTGTCCGGTATGGACTCGGCCGGCACCACGATCCCCTTCTCCACAGACCGGATGGCGACGACCTGTGCAGGCCCCAACGTGATGTTATACAATGAATTCATATCCGACGGCGGCGGCAGACTCGATGACTCTAGCTCTGGCCTTGGCGGTAGTCCATCCTCCTCCTGCTCATGCCTTAGCGCGTTGCAAGAGATCCTCAGCGCGCTCAACGCCGCGATCCCCAGCTTCGACCGGTTCCTCGCCATCAACAAATCCGCCGTGGTGCGCATGACCCATTGTCTCTCTTGCCATTGCTTACCGGACATCTCCTCTGTCATGTTACTCTCCGTCATCATCACTCGGATCGTGCAGTGCTACAAGAAGATCCGCAATGGCGAGTGTCAGGGTTCCGAGGATGTGGGGGTCACCATGGGTACGCTCAAGATGGACAGTGAAGATGAATATCAGATCAAGATGTTTTTGATTCGGTCAGAACTGCGCAAGATCAAGTCCCTGATCACTCGTTTCCGTGATCGATTCGAGAACTTCCTGCAAGGCGCTGACCGGCAGCTGTACGAGGCCAACATGGCGTTTCTGGAATACGGACTGGACGACACGATCAAAGGTCTTTGACATCATATCTTCTCGCGGCAACCTTATTCCATGTCCCATATTTCCTGTTGTCTTTGTTGTCAGTTAGAGCCAGGCGTTGTTGGAAAGTTTGGTTACATGTCAGTCAACGATGCAAAATTGATTTTAGACACCCTGAAGAGGGAGGAGTTTTTGAGATGAGAAAAAAGATTCTGTTGGCTTTGCTAAGTCATGAAGCATGAAGGATTCACGAACCCCCCTATCACGAATTTTTTTTTTTTTTTATTTTGGGCATGTGAATGTCAAGTTTGGTCTCGTCTTACCTTTGCATATGATCATGACCGATACGACAATAGATAATATCAAGAGGGGGAGATGCAAATGACTGATGCATGGTGAGCCAGCCGAGATTAGATAAAGATCAAATCTCACGTTTATCAGTAATTCTTTAGATAAGAGAACTCACATCTATACTTCAGAAGTCGATCTCCTTGTGGAGAGCTTGCAGCAAGGAGGGCAAACCATTGGGGACTCCGCATGACCTTTCATTTGACCGTTCGTCTTAATCTCGCGCCCCAACCAAATTTAGCAGTGTGTTGGGGCTTCGGGATTGGGGACGCAAACGATGACAGGACGAGTCAGCCTCGCTTTGTTTCTACTTTGTCTCTGCTATCTCTGGAAGCTGATAGCCGTTTCGAAAGGCGAGAGGGGCGAGGGGGTCGAGATGTCCCTGAGCCTCTGTCGTTGTCAAGCAGAGACTGAGTGGGTAGAAAGTAGGTTGGGGGAAAGGGACCCGGGTATAAACAGTCCACTCTTGGTTAGGGCTGAAGCGAAACACCGCCACCATGTAGTGAAAGGTACAGGGATGGATGTTCACGCAAGCTACAATACTGAACCGAATGTCAATAATTTGTTTCTTATCTACTGGTACATGCCCTACCGAGTTTCCAGCTTGCCTCCCACGGCAATGCAGCCATACAGCGTAGTTGTAGTGTAAGCAAATGCTTTCTTTGATCACTTCAAATGACCCCATCCTGACCATTATCGTATTGCTGTCCAAAATCGTAGACGAATCTTTGCCCGGAAAATGTCTTGCATGTCCTTAGGCAGTCTAATGCACCTTGGATCATGCGGGAGTCTCGACTACAGACTCTGTCCAACTGGTTGGAGGGAGGAACGGAGAACTCAAGGGAATCAGAGAAGAGGGGAGTGGTTGTTGAGCTCTTACAGATGGACTCTCCTTCAGATCTGCGCCTCCATAATGCCCGAACTGAGGCATCAACAGCATTATTTTGAAGCATTCCCTCCTGCAGCGGTGGTGGCAGGCCCGTCGAGGAAAGGACTTTCTTGAACATCTCCTGTGGCACGTATAATGCGTGATCGCTCTGGTTGTCTTTCGTCTTGATCTGTTTGAAAGTCTGCTATGATCTGCTCGGGTGTGCGTAGGAGCCGCTTGTTGCCTAGATGCGGGCTCTCAACGACTTTTCTCGGTTCAAGAGGATACCCTTAGCAAACTTACCATTATCGACTTATTGTCGAAAAGTGGGATGGGCGAGTCTGTAGGGATGGGCAAGGCGAAGTTGTAGGGCCCTGCATGTTGCTAGACTCTGGCCGGGGGTGTTGGCCACGTAGAAATCAGGTAGGAAGAATGTGGCTGGGAGGCCGATGTATTGCTAGCATCGGTCTTGGAGAAGTGGGCTCCTTTGAAGAGTTTTCCGCCGGGCCATTAGAGGCTGTCGGAACATGCACATGTGTTGTTGTTTTCAATATTGGGGTTGGGGGGATCTTAAGCTCAGTGTTGGCAGGTCGATGTCCTTGGCCACATTGGCAATGTTCTTCCCGAAGTCGATCACGGCAAAGACGGCATATGCTCCGTCCACAGCAGCGCGGAGGGGACGTCTAGTCATCCACATTGGCATCGATACTAGAAAGCGGGTCAGCACTGGGCTTGAGTGGACGGTACCACCACCCGCCAAAAGGCTGAACTGACCAAAGCATACTCAGCTCCCAACTTGGAAAGTCCTTGGGCGCTGGGTTTGGAGGGATGTCTCGTGATGACACGGACAGAGGACATGGATGCTGTTTTGGGATCTGACAAGATGCATTTCACGACAGAACTGCCTCTCCTTGCCTGCGGCCTTGTACAGATGGATGAGGTGGTGGATGTGTTGGGCGAGGATTTTGCCAAAAATGGCAATGTCAAATTGCCAACGGTGCTGACTACAACTTACCCTACCCGCCAGAAAAGGCGACCATACAGAACGTTGTTGCCGCTCGTGATCAGCCAACTTGGAATGACCCGGAGCTGGTGGTGTCCGCAGACAAGCCGTCCGTTGAAGAGGAGTTTAAAGATGCTGGCCCCCAAGATGACGGCCCCAAAATGACGCAGGTTGTATCCGTGTTCAAAGACCCACAGAAATGGTCTCTGTGGCATCATCCCCTCTGCTCTGGCATTTTACCGTGGTCATCTCGTCGTCATTGGTGATGCCGCTGGCAAGCAACAACACCAGCCAAGCCGAGGACCTTGAGAGCACTTCCGCGGCGTTCGGTTCCATCTGACGGCCACGAACCCCACGCGTGGTCGAGACGAGCCGAGAACACAGCGTGGTTGGCACGAAGAAGGGCGAAGAAACAGGCGTCCATCTGGACAATATCAAAAACAATCAGGACAAGCGATTCGAGTGGACTCGGTATGATAATCTCGACAAGGAGGTTGAAAATGCTGTCGGAAAATTGAATGATATCCTTGGCTCCAGGTTCACGGAGGGTCCGAGATCTCTCAATGCCAGCTTTTCGACGAATCCGCTATTGAAGCGAAATACATGCTTCCTCCTTAGAAGCGAGAGCTTGGGTCATGCTGACTTGCAGATGGTGAAGGTGTGAGAGTGTGAGGGTGGAACTGTAGTCTCCGTCATTTGCTATATTGCAGAAACGGATCAATTGTACCAATAAGGAAAATAGGGAGTTTGTCGATAAAATGAAGAGCTATGGCAGTGTGGAATTCTGTCAACATTTCTCAAGCACAAAATGGGATCGCAACGAATTTCCAAAGTTGTTCCCTTCTTACTGAGAGTGCAAGGTTCACAGCTGCGACTCGCATCAACGAGATAGGAAATGAGAGGAACCGGCTTAACAGACCTCTCAATCACGAAACCCATGTTTGGCCATCATTCTCTGCCAGCACCAGCTCTCGTTAAATTCCCGTCAGTCTGGAAATTTCTGATTGGAAAGTCCGTAATACTTGCCCAATTCTCATCTCTGGATAGGTGGACTTGATACATGGCACACGTTCTACATACCTCGAATGCCATGTGTCATTTAGTTGCTGTGGAGATCGACCCTGAGAGAACCAGGCGAGCGAAGCTCGGCACATATCGTCTCTTCACCATTGACAGCCTTGCCCTCTGAATGTCTCGGTGCGGAATCAATGTTGAACTGTCGCTTTTGACTTGGATGACTGAACCTAATGGTGTCACCCCTTCAGTTGGGTGCACGGAATGAAGTCCGCTAATGTCATAGGACATGAGCTCATCCCGATGATTGGCCTGGTTGGACCATATCCTCCCAATATGGCATCGGTGGCTGACATCTTAGCGTTTCGATTGAGCTGTAATCGGTTTTTGTAAGCCTCAGCTAGCATGAGATGGCCAACATGTGGTCCCATTAATGTCGCCAACGCTTGACATATTGAAGGGTTCGAACTAGAAATCCCGGTCCAGAACGATCTCCCCGTAATGCCCGAATTCTGACTGCGACCCTCTCCCACTCTCAACACTTGCCATGGGCCGAGACATCAAGTGAACGACGCGGGGCTTGAATGCCAAGTCTGGGAGAGGGATGGAAGCTGATATCGTTTCTTCCGCCTCACCCACCTCCTTTCTCTTTTCCGCGTCGTAAATACTCACGGACATTCCTCTTTCCACTAAACACTATGGCGATGGTACTGAATTATACTCAAAGCCGGAAACCACGAGAATTGCGAGCATGTCTCGGTCGCGATGAGAGATCCCAATTAGGCATTCCTTGTCGGAGCTTAGGCAATTCAAGTACGCGAAGAGCTCAAGCAAACATCACCCGTGCCTGCAAGCTGGGCTGGTATATTCCCAGGAATTGAAAAGGAATCAGCATGTTTGATTCTCGAAGAGTTCTCCAGAGACACAAAAATTCCACCAACCGGTCGCCCATGTGTGTCCGGCGACCAGCTTGAACTCGGTTACAGTCAGCGCCCCTCCTTCCGAGTTGGATGGGCGCATTCAATCTGGTGTCCTCGAACCCGGCCGGACGATTCGAATTCTCAAGTATGGTTGTGGGATTTTGGTGAGACCAGCGCCTGGCATCAGAATTAGAGAAAAACGTGGACTCACATGTAAAATTTGTGGTTCGTGGTTATCGGTTTCAGGCCCGGTTCCGATCACTGCATATCCATCGTATAATCTCAAGTCTTGTTGACCAAAAGTGTTCGGGCCCGGATCTCTTTTTCCTTCCTTTCCTTGTCCTCTTTCCGACTCAATCACCGGGCATTCCTGATGTTAGGCCGAGGGTCCTCTTCTTCTTGTGAGGGGGTTCGAAGTGGGAGAAGGCTCAACTGTCCAGTCAATGCGTACGTACCTGTGCAGGAAGAGAGAGCCCTGGTGGCTAGAGTGCTCGGTCAGTCTCGAAACCTGCACTGGTCATTTTGTCGTTATGGCGTTATGGCGTTGGTTGTTAGGTCCTCAATGGATACTGATTTGGCTCTGGTCGATGACGCTGGTAAGTAAACGAGGCCGGAATACGGATCTAACCCCCCGATCCTGGTTCTCAGTCTCAATTCCTGTGCCGATGCAACAAATCACAATCATGCTCCCCTATCTCGAGAACGTTCTTGATCAACGGTCGAGCATGACTCGTGGTCGCAGTTCACCCCATGTTTCTTCAAGCCAGCCAACCCTCGACTATCATCCCATTACTGATCTAGGTTACGTCTACCTTTTGGCCGTTTAGGTGTGGGTGGGCAATCCCCGTGGTAGCGACGGCCTACTCCGGCCGGGAGTTCCTGAGCCGAGCACAGAGGGGAAGAAAGGCACACCGTCATTGACCAAGACAGGGGATGGGCAGCTGTGCTAAGCTTTCAGTGATCCGTTGGTCGTATGTCAGGTATTGCATGATGACGGATGGTTGTTGATGAGAGTGGAATCGGAGGGCGTGGAAACAAGGAGAGTGGGATGTCGCCAAAGTTCCTCGCTCTGATTTGTGGAAACAGAATCCATGTCCGACAAGCTAGCGATGCTGTTATTGTTTCTTCTGCTTAGCCATCGGTTAGTATTCGTTAGTACTCCCTCCTTCCGGATTGTACCTCGTATTCTCTTTTGCCTAATCTGGTTCTTCAACGAGAACTGGCGTTGACGTTTCATCCAGCATCTTCGCACTCCTTACCTTTCTGGTCTGCCTTTGATCTCCTCCATCTCTTCTGCTCGAGGGTCATTTCGCTATTTTGTGATCTACGCCTTTTCGCGCATGGGGTTGCTAAAACCGGTTAAAGACCCCCCTTCAAATCCTAGTCGAAACTTTGTCCGAAAGATGTCGTGCAGATCATTTGGATCTGGACGTCCTTGTTGCCGTGGGAAAGATAAGGCTTAGCGTGTGTACAACTTTGGGCCCTCAATCACCACCCATTGCATATGTTTAAGAGCGTGCAGAATCCTGTTTGCTTCGTTGCCAGATGTTTGATGAGGTGGTATTTACCCCGCCGTCGTCATGCCCCTTGTTTTCTTCTGTTCGGCTCCAGTGCCTTTGTGGAAAGCGTGCTGTCTTTTGTTGTCCTTGTTTGTCTGTGGATGACGACCGCGCCCGCCCCCCCCCCC